GTCTATGATTTCGTACCACTAATTTTCTTGGCAGTTTAAAAATGCTATTTCCACTAAAACTGTGTAAGTACCAAGAAGAAAGTGTTACGACGTTTTTTAACAAAGTAGACGTTAGCTAAGGGTAAATGCTGCCCATTTTTAATGCATATTGGAAGAGCCTTTAGGGCTTACCTCGGCCCGTTTCTGGTTTGATGCCAATCGCCTTCGCTGTTCCTCCTATAAATGTTACAAATATTGATGTAGCAGATGGCGTAAAAAGGAATCGAAGCAACAATAACTTAAATCTAAGCATTCTGACGTGAATTTTGGCTAAGATAATATTTCTATTGCTCTTTATTGGGTGCTGTCAAACATTAAAGTGTATTTTGCAGTTATTAACATAATTACTTGATAAGATCTTATTAAATTTAGCGATGTCAGAGGTCATCATGGTTCTCAAATCCAATCAATTAAGTTGTTATAAAGGACAAAATAAATCACAATCTCTTGTGGACAAAGGTTACATTTTTTTGAAAAAAGGTAACAACCAACAAAACACATAAATTAAAGTGAATATTCATTGCAAATGCAGCAGTGATTTCCTTAAAACAATAAAGGTACACAAATCAATGCGACAGGAAACAAAAACATGATGGATAATGCAAGAAGCTAGCGCCTAATTAATAAGACTCCCACTTGAATAAATTGTGTTAAATTTCTAGAAAGACTCAATACTGTAAGAACCATCCTAGATGATTTCACATACTCAATTGTTTCACTTTTTGTTTCAAAAGAATATCATTTGTGATTGGGCATTGATTGATGAGTCATCAACCGAAGCACTAACCATGGCCTGCTAAGGGGGATTCGTTTAGGTCGCAACAGCCAAGCCTATCATTACGATTTGTTGCCTATTTCTTTCCTATTCTTAGGGATATGCAAATCGCGGTCTTTTCAGGATAGTTGAATTACGCATTAATAATCGTGATTGATTTACTTCCTATTAATTCTTTGGTACGGCATTGCCCTTTGCCTTTCAAGCCACTACTACCACCAGTGTTTCAGGCAAATTGTTAAGAAACGTGCTTGCTTGCCAGTACCCGAAATCACAGACGTCGGAAAGTCCATTAAGGATACTACCTTCCGTCACAAATCACACCTTTATAACTGGGCGGTGCCTGTGTTAGTAGCGCCAAGAAGCCGCATTAAATATTCTGTTTAGTGCTGGATCCGTTTACCAACTGTTATTCTCCCGAACTTAAACAGTAAGCAGTGAAGGTGGTCTGTACGATCTCATACGAAAAGATCCTTAATATTGAACAAATTCAAATTGCAGTGTGTGCACTACTCACATTGCTAAAATTTACCATCCTTAGGGCCAAGATGAAAGCTGAGTGATGGTAGGCACGAGAGTTTATTTAGTCACAAGTTATTGTCGTTATTTGTGCCTATACATGTTAGTAAATGTAGCGTTGTAGATTGTCTAAAACAATCAGTGGAGTAAGTCACCAAACACGTCCCAGTATAAAAAACGGCGCCAAACAGGTGTTAAACAGACTAAACATGATAGTATTTTACTCGTAGTTTTCAAATAGCATTAGTAAGATTTTGTAGGAAAGTTCTTGCATGAGCAACCATTGTTATCACCAACACACGACCTTGAGTCAAATAGGTAAACTAATAATGTGATAATCATCTACAAGCTAATGACAGCATACACAATTTTGCTAAGCATTTGTTGTAGAAGTAGACGTAATTACCACTGATGAACCAATAGGATAGGTTATGTATCCTTAGTTTCAGATACAATAGCCACACTGAAAACTGGAAGATGATAGAAAAATTATGGCTTGTACCGTGCTTAAGTAATATTCCCAGAACCTTGAAAGAATTGTTTTGAAACATGATTAGGCAAAAAATAGCTTGAATTACTAACAAAATGGGAAGTCACCAGAAAGTAAACAGTGGTTTAGCTTTGATTTGCTAAACTAAGCATTATTTTTTCTATACTACATCAACAGACTAAAAAAACAAGGAAAATGGCGTTAAGAAAAGTGCTTTCGCAAATAGCTCTGTGTCTTTCTGTTGGGGATCCACGATTTCCCAAGATTGGTTTCTGATTCTATCTACGTTAATTTAATAATATTTGTTTTGTTACACTTTTATCAAGTCAAGGTCACACTTGACTTGAATTACTTTCGATTTCACTTCTCTGCACGTGGCTGACGTGAATAAAGCTCTCTACTCTAGCTCTGGTCTTGTTCTTGTATTAGCCTGGGAAGGTCGATTCTAGTTTCAGCAAGGGTTCTGGTACCGTTAGTTGAGTGGTTTCCTCTTTGCTACGGGCAAACGTAACAAAATTGGCGACGCAGGTGAGATACCAGAACAAGACCAGAAATTCCTTTGAATTTTTCGGTACTTCTATCCAAAATATTAAAAAAAACTTGTGGAGATAGACATTGATAAACAATCACCTTTTTTTCATATGTATGGGGTGAAAAGAAATAAGTAAAAGGAGAAAAAGGAAAGCAGTTTATGTATTTCTAGCAGAAATAATTTTTTCTAGGGTGTACGAGAGCAGAAAATCTGCTGAATATGCCAACAGACAGTGGTCCATCGAATGTCATTGGTTTAAGCTGCAGCAGTCGCCGGAGAATAGGTGATAAATAGCGCGTAAAGTGATTGCATTAAAGTTGCTTTTACGAAAAGGTTTGTTACCTACCAAAATGTCAAGTCCTACCTGGTCGAGAACCATTATAACAATTTTCAGCACCAGTTTTGATTGTATAAATAAAATCACTGCATGATTAATCAAACGTTTCGGCGCAATCCAAAAGTGCTTGACTAAGACATGTCAGTACCAACGAGAGCCCAAATGAAAGTTTATAATGTTTGCCTTTTCAGAAGTCAGGCCAGTAAAACAAAAAACTTCGTTGTCTTAAGTAAATGATCTATCAAGTTAGACGTGTAGCAGTTGGAAAGCTCCATTTAAATCATATTGTTCGTTAAACTTGTAAGGAAGCACCAATTAAAAAAGTTGTGAATCACATACACTGGTCAAGTTGCGGTAGATCTCCTCGGACAAGCATTCACTCATCCGCGTTTGCTGACAGTTTACTACAGAGGTATGGAGCCTGAATATCTAAGAGACTTTGCCTATTGATAGAAGTCTGCGTCAGTACTCAAATAAAATATGATTCAAAAATAACTGATATACTCAAAGACCCTGATTCCTAAGGTTTTGAATGAACAGTTGATACAATATTTGTCGAAAGTTCACCTGTTCATGGAGACTGCATGCTTGAATGCTGAGTTCTCAAAACCACCGTTTGTAACTAAGACTAACTTAAGAGGCCATCTGAATAAGATTTATGTCATTTTTAACCATTTTATCAAAGTCCACATTCATTAATCACATCAACTGACTTCAGAGATGCACACTAGGAATAAACAAGGTACATTGCAATTGGTTGCCCCAAGCTGAATCAGTAACATTCTATGAAAAATTCAATGGCTTCATGCACAAATGATTCCGCTTTGTTGGGACCTCCGAAGATTGCTATATTCTAGATAAGGGTCTGATATCAATTAAGGCATTTCAAAACCCTTATTAGTAACAAGCGGTACATTCCTGCTTGCACTTTTAATGACAAATGTGTTAACCATAGCAAAAACCGAATTTTGCTAGTAACAATGCAATTTAAAGAAGCTGGTAGTACGTCTGACATGAATGCTAGCCCGAATACATAAACCATAAATTGGTACATAGATTATCCACAGTCCTTTGATTCATCAGAAAAATTAGTCATCCAGAGACCGTGAAATTTATCAAATCTGATTCAGGTTTTTAAATACATGAAACTCCCACAGAATTATAAAGATGAGGTGAACTAATGCGGCTTGTGTATCCATTTGACAGTTGCACGAACCCAGGAGGTAAAGAAGTGTTCTGACATGTTTGGCGGATACAGCAGAATGAGAAAAAGGCACTATCCTAAAAAGTCTGCACACAGGAGGTACAGTTGTTAATGAGTGTTTATAAGTTATTTTTTTATCTAGAGAAAGTTCAGAATTATTTGCTCTTTACCACGATCGAGTGCTAACTTTCCAAAAGAAACTGCTAGTGTGCAAAGTATTGTCCAAGAGACAGTAAGAACTCATGATAACCTTAATGAGCTTTGGTAATTTTAGCCCAAATTTATATTTATTAAATGCGAAACGGAAAAAAATAGAAATCGAAAGTGAATTGATTTGATATTAAATAAAATAACATTAAAGAGCCAATTATACTTTAGTCTGGAAAGAATAGTAATAATTTACTCAACTTACTGTAAGTTCGTTAGCTTCACGTTTTTCGAACTCATTTACCTGGTTAAAAACAAAAAAAATTGAATTTATTCATCCTTGGTCATTTAAAGGAGCAGTAAAAGAGAATGAGCTCTGTACAAAATATAAGCAATGATAATTTGTGATTTTCAGTTACAACACCTCTGCTTACTAGCTCCTTTCACGCCAGACAATAATTGCTCATTATCGGAAAATTGCTAATATTTCTGGGGTTCAATTCAAGTTGCAAACGCTGCAATTTTATTTTCTCACAGTTGTTCTATTATGGGTAAGTCACTATCATCGCTAGCCATGATTATTTCCTACTTTCACATAATCATGTAAAAATACCACGTCATTGTTTGAGTTTTCTGATTTAAACCGGTGTATTTAAGATTTAAATTTAGATGTCAAGGATAAAAATTACCACGATATCGTTTACAATTCGGTCTAAAACCAAGGTGCAACCTATAGAAATATCCCTTTTGCATATTAACGCTAAAAATTTGTATTCCCATTGAATGAAATCCTATTCTGTCATTTTTTTGACCTAAGACATTTTTTTCTAGAGGTTCTTCAAATGTTACTATCTGCATCAACATTGAGAAGGAACGGAAGCCGATAGATGTTGTAAAGTACCTTAGATTTGGATTTTGAAATTCAGATTTACAGGGTCTTTTGTCGGAGCAGGTCATCTAAAAACCTAGAAAGCATTTTCCACTTGCCTCTTCAATAACATCCTGGAGCGATTCTTTGCCCTTAAGGACGTAGTTAACGTTCTCTTCTTTATGGTTGAGCTGGTAAATATCCAACGAGGAAAGCCTAGAAGCAAAAGCACATCGGTAAGCACTGGGACCTGACTGTAATTTTATTTCACAATACAATTTTTTGCACTACGACGCTAGGTTACAATAAGGCAGAATTAAGGCTGAGAATCTGCTTATTGTAGACACCGTTGCCTGTAACCCTTTAGCAAGGTCCAGCAGATCTACCGTGATTTCTATTTTGACGCCTAAGTACCAATTACAAGCTAGAATTCGCCAAGGAGCATCGACTAGTTGCCATTGTATTCAGCTTAAATATGACCGACATTCGGAAGAAAAATAATCTATTTAATGACCTACCAAGCTAATAACAATGACAGTTAAAAGGTCACTACAAAGATTTCTTTATTAAATTTGCTTAGACGTGGCCGTCGAATATATTTGTTTTCGAAGAAAAATAATCTTAAGGCAAATTTATTACCAAAACATATTGACCATCTCGCAAACTAAAATAGTTATTATTAAGGCGAAAATGTGCCTATATATTACAGTGTTTTAAATTTGACATCATCCTAGATATCCTGATTTTTTTTAACAAATTCCTAACCTATTTCCACTGTTGTAATAAGTAATCAGCATATCAGAGAGATAGTGGCACATGGTAGAGTTAAGGCAAGCATTTCTATAAGTTTTAACATTTTGGCATGCAAGTTTGCCCCTTAATTAAAATGCAAACCCGTTTGCAAGAACTAATTAACTAAATCTATCTTGTGCACAAATTAAGTTATTTTCTAAGCAAAACAAATGGCTGAGGCTGTCACCTATCAAATTACCTTTCCCTTTTTTTGATTTGCTGAAAAGGTGTTTCTTTTACCTTAGTTGCTACATATATTTAAATATACATAGTGTAGTAATTAGCCCATGGAAGTGTCAATCTGTGGCAAATTTATTCCGTTTTTCGGCTCTAGAGGATGTTTTGATCTTGAGTTCTGCAGGCGACTCGGCCAAATTATGGAAACTCAATAGGGACATTAGGTCACGTAAAAGGCGCAGTCACGGCGGCGTATAATCTGATTTTGTCGTAAGTTAGAAAAAAGGCCAAAATGATGGCCGAATAGGGCACATTATAACTGAAAAAAATTAAAAAATGCAGGTGTGTATTAAATTTTCGTGACTCACTGCGTACAATCTATGCGTACATGCTAATCGACGCATACTTAGAGAAATTATCCCGGAGTTGAAGATTTACCGTGCACCTGCTGCAATTTTCTTTCACTGGTGCAGCCGGTCCTTCCACGACTCTGATTTACAACCGCGCTGCACGTATCTCTGCACATTTGGACGCTCTATGCTAACAGAGGTGCTGCCGACGCTTTTACTTTCTTAAATTAAAGTTCTCGGCATTTCAAAAACTAATCCGTAATTAATAAGAGCACTTAAGTGTTGTTTATAAATTTATTGTTTTACCATGAGATCATTTCCATAAATACCTTGTCAAAATATTGGAGTAAGCAATTGCACTGATAAACGTTATGCAAGAACTTTATAAGCAAGAGTGCAGTTTCGGATTTGAAATTTGCAATAGTAGTTTTGGCTGCCCTTTAACTCTTGGCCTTCCCTAACGATATGACACTTCATTTACTACTGGAATGCTTATCAAGGATTAAAGTGAATAAATTAGGATTCTTGGAAGAAGTACCTTCTTCCAGAGGTTCCTTGACAAGTTCTCGTTGCTGCAGTGCGCTGCATTGCCTCCTCCTCTCCTGACGAAAACACGTCATCATCTCCATCACAATTTGGCCGAAACTTGGTCGCCTCTTCCTTTTCATTTTTAGAGTCTCTTACAAACGCCTTCGAGTCTGGTTCATTTGTCTCATCTCTATTTGAAATGTGACCTGACAAGTTTCTATCCCTTGGTTTGAGCTCAGAGGTGTCCTTTCCACGACTCATGTGTGGAGATTCGATTCTCTAAAAGTAAATTTTCCTCTTCCCAGCAAGGTCCGTAACAACAAAACACCTAAATGGCCTCACATTTTGAGTCCTTAATGTTCAAAAGGTAACAATGCTACATAATAGTACGTAGGGTCCAAGAGTCAACGATTTTGCATTAACCATTTTTTTGAAGATGAAAAAATTTCATTTCTAAAAGTGCATTTTGTTGACGATTGTTACCTAGATGTTTTGGTCGAGAACGCATAAATGAATGTAATTTATAATTATTTAACTGGATGAAACTATATGTTGATGTACTTGGAAATTATGGATGCTACAACGGCTGATTATTCAACTTTTTTAAGACAAATTCAAAAAATATAGCCACATTTACTGTACATAATTGATTGTTTCTAGGTCTTCATCATAATGCGGCTTCACCAATTACCTTAAGTAATGATCAGTACTGAAAGAAATTCAAGTCATGCTTTTTTAGGTACATGAAAAGGAAATAGTGGATACAAAACCTTAAGCAGAGCACCCCACTTTTTGTTTCAAATTATTATAATAACTGTTTTGTTTCAGCTGACTAAAGAAAAAATAGTTAAGAAGTGATTTAGATAATCAGATCTACAATGCAAACAGAAATAGAGTGGGGTTTTAATAAGAGACGAAAGGAAACGGGAAAGGTTTAGAACAACAATTTGTTTTTAAAAAAATACTGGCATGTATGGAACTGCGTTTTAAAAACTAAATGAGAAAACAAACCAAATTTAAAGCCAGCTAAATAGCCGAGAAGATACAACTTGTGATTCCTGCACAACCTTGTGAATCTTTGAAGAAACACCCTAAAGGAATGTAAAATAGAAACACGAAAGCAGAAGTATGATGCTGTCAAGTTCAATTATTTTGATATGCTGGGCTTCAAAATGATTAATAAATCAAGCCGGTCAAACGATGTTAAAAGCACCAGAATTCCTCCGAATAAATAATGGCAAAAAATGTAATAACATGAATGCTAGCTTAAAAAACTTCACTAATAAATCTGCAATGATTTCACTCCATATTTCGCCTGTGGTTTTACTTATGCACAAAAAAGTAATGTATTATAACGGAGAGGCTATTTGAAATAAATGTGTGCTTGTAATTTTGAATGCCGAAATGCTTGCTTGGTTCTATGTGTAGAAAACTGCTCTTATTGACATTTTGCATATTCTTCAAGGCATAAATGGCCACAAGACTTCAGATTATCCTTCATAACAGCGTGATTTATGGTATAATCTTTAGGTTCAAGGGGATATTCATCTAGCTTTTTCCCGAAGAGGCTATTAAAACCACCTTTTTCAAACAATCGGAATTGGAGTTACAATCAATGGTTTGCGTTGCTCATACTTTCAAATTAACTTTTCATAGAAATTAAAACCGAGCACAAATACTTGAGTTTGGTGTGCGCAAATAAAACTCACTGTGAACAATTAAAAGACAGGCTTAGACTTTGTATTTTAATTACAACAACTTTATTGGCAATTATTTTTTAAGGGATGTAAATGGGTTTAATTTAGTTTAAAAATATAAAAGAATGCTGGCAACTAATATAAACTTAACAGCTTGAAGCCTAATGCCTTTGTACTGTGGTTCTTTTCTTTTTTAACTGATCATAATGCAAAATGAGTGAGAATGGTCTGGAATGTTGTAATATCAGGCAAATGCCAAGGTCCACCAAAATGAGGAGACAGAATAATTTCCTAAAAAGACGTACGTTTGTGTGGCACAATATACAAATATAATCCTATTTCTTCGAATCACCGAATTATGTAAAGTCAACATCTGCGTTTCCTAATTTTCTAATTGGTCAGGAACCTTTCGGCCAATTGTAACGCAAATGCAGTTGACGTATGCAAAGATTACCCAATTTCAAACGCAAAAGTGGGGATGTGGCATTTTAGATTGATGCCTTTAAGAAAAGCATAGAAATAAGTCAAAGACACAATGAGATTTTTGTGGTATGACACTGAATTTCTACTGCTTTCATTGACTTTTGTAGAGAGGTTCAGATGTTTATGCAAATCAGCGACAATGACTGCCGTTACATATTTAAAAACTTATTTCAATTTACTGGTACTTTGGTCAAAGTGTTGTAGTGATTCTCACAAAAACTGTATTTTTCAAAATCATTGTAGCTGTGGATCAGCATGACAACTTTTGTTTGTAAAGCATTTACTACTTACGACTAAATATCTGGCACTAATATTTGACTTTACTGAAACAAACCTACACGACAGCATGTTGAAAGTTATTTAAAGCGTTAAAAACCTTAGCAAACTACTCTTACAGGAATATATGGATTGTCCTGGCGCATAATATTATTGCTGTTTTCACCAAAAATGTTTAATCACTTGGCAAGCTTAAATTTCTCGTTTAATTGTCAATGGCACTTCACAATACTGCTTTAAATTTTAATTATGAGACAAGAACAAAACCCTGTAAATTAAGTATTCACATTATTGAGAATGAATCTATACCAACTAGTTAAACTGCTGAAAGACGCAGCTTAAACATACCCTCTCGTAAAATATACACAGAATTTTAGTTTGTTGGAAAATGATATGGAAACCGTCTCTACTGCAGTTCGTCTAGTTAGACTCACATATTTTGTTCTGTTTGCTTAAGCTGATTTAATAATAAAATCCAAAAGTTACAAAATAATTACTCCCTTTTAAAGAGTATTACCTTCGCCTTCAAAACGTCTACACGTTTTACACAAAATTGCTTAATTTAATGCATGTTTCACACACTTGTCGGAGTAGCAGTCACGTTCAGGATCATGCGACGTAATTTATCCTAATTTTGTTAGACGTCCTGTATTAGGAGACAAACATTGTTTATTGTTTTCTAACGTGAAGCTTTTTTACGTATTTAAGCAGTATTTTTTTTCGGAATGCTTGTGAGAACGCAAACAGAAATAGTTTGTGTAGATTCCCTTTTTTCTAGTCACGTGTCACGCAGAGGTTTGAAATCAGTAATATATTTGATTGTATGTCGGAGTCGAAACTGACTCCAGGAACCGACCTCTGGAAAAATTAAGACTACTGGGAATTAAATATCCGTAGAACTTCTCTCTGTCTGATAGGCTTCAATATTGGTGAACAAGTAAGCTTTTCAACTCATTACTTTGCGGTTTAATTTTCAAACAACTGGATTTATTCTTGTACAGAGTAAAATTGGTATTCGTTTGAGACTTACGGCTAATTGAATGCAATTCGATGAAGCATTATAAGTTCCGTGTTTGGACTTGTCGAACTCCCTACTACGATCCTAATCAAATGCCTTTTTTACTGATAATCGTACACCCGAGGGCTTTCATTACTGTTAAAACAACTAAAGTGCTGTAAGAACAGTTTACTATCATAGAAATACCAACGTTATTCTTTGCGCACATCTCAAAACCATCAAGACTGCCTGAGCTATATAAAATAGGCCATTTTTACAAGTATATTTTTTAATAAATAATCAAAAGAAATAAGGGAAGTTTATTTAATTCATGATTTTACTTTACAAAATTACAATGTGGGCACTTATGGCCTTTTAGGTTTGCAAAACATCAATTACATCGGTAGTAAAGGTATGTGGGCAAGTAATTATACGGCTCTGCACACATAATAAATCATTTTCATCCATTAATATTATCAGGAGTTCTTTGCTGCGTTCCAGGGGAGAACTTTCTCATGGGAAGTTTAGGATCACATGCCCCTGGTGCTTCTCATACGGTGATAGTGCTTTAATAGAGGACATAAGTAGATTCTTATAAACCTGGGTGCCTGAAGAAGCAAATCAGCATAGTAAGTTCAATGAAACCACTTCTGGTAGTTCATTAACTGCCCATATTTAAAGATTGTCATAGATTAATAAGGGCTCTGCCAGCGTTAACGGCCAACATTTCCTTGCAGTAAAGGAAGGAATGAGTATACTGTGACACTATATCACCGCTCACCTGATTTCAAACGAACATTTGTCAGAACGTTCATGATTAACTTAATGAAAATATACCAAAACTAATAAGTTTGAATTCAAATTTAACACCCTATGTACTCAAAAGCTCTTTGTAAATTTGTAGAAGACTTATCAATACGCGCTTAGTCAATTCTTCATAGAACATGGATGTCCTCGACTAGCCAATGGTCGTGGCCAAGATAATTATGACGGGACTTATACATGTGTCCACGATCTTGGTGGGGGAATCAATGAAAGATTAATGGTCTGTTTACCAGTGACAAAAGATTCGGTCTAACCCAGATCATGGACTAAAGTCAAATATTGTAAGCCAAACCATTTATAGTTCCACTACACCTTTAAGTTATACCCTCATTTCACCATTAGATAAACTTAGCAAGAATACTATTTATTTTTAGACATTCAAATTCATTTACTCAATAGCTATGTTGAAGTAAAACGCTATGGTAAATGGCAATGGATGTTGCTTGAAATACCTCAAATACCTTTGCAGTATTTTTCATGTTTATTATCGAGCAATTGTAGGTCTGTTGCCTACCAAATTACATTCCACCTTACAAATGGCGGTTTATGATGTCGAACATTCAGAAATGTTGTTTTTATGAGTGCTGAAAACTTGGTGCCTCGCTGTTCAGGCAAACATTCTGCCGTACTGCTTTTCGGGCTGGGTAAAGATTCAAGCAAGTCCTCCGTGTGAAAATGGGTCACTAAATCCATATTGTTACTCATCTTTTGTAGCCAACGAACGATATCTTGAATTAAAATATTTCAACTCTTGGCGCTAGATGGCCATGCATTTAAAATAGTATAATTGCAAACTGTCATTTTTATTTGAAAGTTTTATGCACATTTACATAAGGAGCCCGACACCACTTTTGTCAATCTTTAAATGTGCTGCTGGTGCACTGCTATGGTTATTATGAAACTTGGGTAAACATCGTTATAAAAATAAAACCACACGAAATTGAATTTAAGAGTTGAGACATTGTGAATGCTTTCAAATCGATGATGATTTGAGCAGGCTGACTAATAGCGTGGTCATGAACTGAGGAGCAATCGAACCGTTGATTAGGCTTTGAATTCCTATGGATGGTGGTTGCAGGTGGTGTTATTTAATGGCTATCGCTTATCCATTTGGTGAATTAACACCGTTATCATGTGGATATGTGGCAAAACGTTTCTTTAATTGCATACCAGGAAAAACCTTTTTATTGTGACACGATGTGCATCTACTGCGTACTCTAATTTTGGATTTATCGTGACCGTTTAATGGGAAACAAATAAAGCTATTCTAGACTAGGCAATAACTTTGATATGTATGGGTCATTTGAAATCCTGAACCCTTGCTGAAGTAAGCAGAGTAAAAACAGTTAGCCTTTTCGGAGATGAGTTATAAAGAGTTGGGATAGATTTAAAACTTGTTAGAAAAATTCCCTGAATTTACTTGAATTTTAGCAAACGGCAGTCTTGTTTTTTACTTGTTGCACACGGTAAGAAGGGATACACCAAGTAAAAAACAAATTCTGATATATTTTCACAGAAGGGCATCTAAGTAATCAAATTAACCAGATTAAGTGAGAAGTCAATGCTATGGTTGTGAACCCACTAAGAATACTTTGGTGAAGGCAAGTCTGTTTAGGTTTTCTTAGGTCATGCAAAGAATTAACTTTGTTTCCATATCAGTTTCCAGGTTAATCAAGTTTACATTAAAAAAGTATATTCAAAGGCTTATTAAATTATGAGAATAAAAACATAATGCACAAAAAGCTTACTATTTTCATTCAGAATTGTTTGATCCGACTTGTCGATGTCATTGGAGCAGTTATCAGCCACTGTGTGACAAAGACTCGATCGAAATTTGTCTCAATCTTGGTACGATCGAAGACTCATGGTAAAATGGATTTCATCATAATTTAAGCAATTCTAATTGACATTGGCATACTGCCAACAATATAATTCAGACAACCAAGCTAGTAGATACTATTTGAGGTTAGGTCTTCTGAATAAAGTCAAAGCAGTGCGCGAATATTTCACAAATGATGGGAGATAAAAAGAATCCAATCTTATTGTGGCGAGATTTTCTTCGGCTCCTCTAAATTAGCAAAAGTGGTACTCCTAGAAAACGTGAGGGTACTTGACTTTGATTAAGGATCTAACATTGGAGGCCTTTTCCTGTCACTTGAAATGGCACGTGTCAAATCGATTGCCCACATTTCACGCCTTGCAGGCAGGCCCAGGGTTGGCTTTGATTGAGGCGTGACAGCAATGAGTCGCAAGACACCTCAACAGAGAGAGGCCAGTAAAAAAGCCAAAATTGAGCCTCTGAAAAGCGACAAGTATCGCCTAATCAGCCGACTTGGAGACGGGGGATTCTGCGAAGTATTTAAGGCAAAAGATCTTGTAAACAATCGCTACGTGGCAATTAAACGCGTAGATCGCAGCAAACCGACTTACCAGAAGTATTCACCGAAGGATGTTGAGAAGAAAGTAAAAAAACTCATGTATCGAGAAGCAGCTATTATGAGGGCATTGGATCACCCCAACTTAATTAAACTCTATGAGCTGGTGGAGGATAACGACCAAATATTCATTGCCATGCAGCTTGCTGAAGGAGGCGAACTCTTTGACAGAATTATTAAAAGAGGAAAATTTACCGAAAAGGATGCAGCTCAAGTAATGGCTCAAGTAATTGGGGCAATCAAGTATATGCATGATCGCGGTTTTGTCCACCGCGACATCAAACCCGAAAATATCCTTTTCTACAGCGCGGGCGATGACTCAAAGCTTCTGATAACAGATTTTGGACTATCACGCGAACTGGAACAGAAAATGCTTACAAACTGCGGTACTGTTGACTATTCAGCTCCAGAGCTGCTGAAAAGTAAACTCACCAAGGTTGGCTACGGTCCCGAAGTGGACAACTGGAGCATTGGAGTTGTTTCGTACATCTTGCTCTGTGGCTACCCTCCCTTCTATTCAACGAATCAAGATGATGGTGAGATAAAAAAACAGATAATGTCTGGAGTATACCACTTTCATCATCCACACTGGGACAGTATATCTAAACAGGCGAAGTCATTTGTTGCTGGTCTACTAAAAGTTGACCCTTCAGAGCGGATGTCGTTAAAGAGTGCTCTGGAACACCCGTGGATCAGACTCGAGTGTCCGAGCACAATAGATATATATCCACTGATTGAGGAGAAGATGAAGGACACGATCGCCAAACAGAGGTGGAGGTGCTTGGGGCTAGCCGCGGGAGCAGTCCACTTGCTGAGTATCCAAAGTCCCTCAATGGTCGTGCGTAGGCCTTCAATTATGCAGACCCCGATAATTAGTGGTTAAATTGGGTCGGCTTTCCCCAAAATTCGATGGCTTCATCATTTGATGTCTTTATTTTGCATTGCCGCCCACAAACCTCTTATATTATCCTCGGTTATTACACTTTATTTTTACTTGGGTTAATAGAACTTATCAGGCCAGAGATTTAAAAAAAATTGTTTTGGCTTTGATACTTTGCTCTTGTGAGGATAAATATAATTTGGCTAATACGTTGACTTTTGTTTAGTGTGGTAAATGAAGAAATTTGCGCTATTTGACTACTTATCTTCCTTCGATCCAATTACCTTCAAACTATTTCTCGTCAGTCATGTCATGACAATTTTATTGCTTAACACGAACATTCTTATGACAAAGTACTGACCAATTTAGAATATGGATGTTTGCCGATAAGCTAAATAGTATTTTACAATGTCGAAAATGCACACTATTGCCAACCACTTTATTGATTTCAGATAAAATTAAAAGCTTCTTAGATTACTTTTTAGGCTGAATATGATTGGCTATTGGAAGGAGCCTAGGTGTGCTCTGCTTCTCGGCTTAGCATGCATTTCGAAAATCGACCTTCAGAACGCACCTCATAAGTTGTTAACTCAATTAAATAGCCCATCCCTACCCCTCAACTTTGTTTGATTTATTTTTGGGATGCGGTTTTTGTTCTGAACGTTTCTTACCCACACTAAATGAAGCGGATTCGAGTGACACCAAAAAGCTGCCTTTTTACGAGCGTACAGCAGTCCACAAGATTCTGTGGTCCCCACCTTAACCAAGAGTGACAGTAAAATTTCAGAAAAATATTTTGATAATGCTATTGCAGTGCAAAAGTGCAGTTAATTTTTTTTAAACCGACCAATATTGCCGTGATTTTGAAAGTCAATCAAAATAATAGTTTTTTTTTTAAATTGACAGTAATTAGTAAAATTATAACTTTCAGATGTTAAATGTCTTTGTAAACCAATCAAATTTACAATTTCTCTTCCATTTTGCTATTCGGTAGTTTTAAACAAAAAGTGCTCTATAGCATTGCAGTTATATGTTTACCTTGTCAAGAACAACACGGATTTTAACATGAACATGATACGAATCGGTGTGAAGCTAGACGTTCATTCGATAGAATTTTATGTTTTCTCTTTTAGCCAAGGCAGAGATTTTGTTTACCTAATACACTTCTACAAGACAACTGCTATGTGCCAATAAAGATTTGGAATGTAGCGGAAAATAAACAACTAAATTCCTGTCATAATAAATATTTGTCTGAAACAAATCTCTTCACCGAAGCAATCACGGTGTGGATAAAATAATTCTCTTAAAATGGACAGTTTATAGTTAGCATTCCTGCGCAAAACTTTTGTGGCGCTTTGACATAAATACCAGGCTCATTTATTGAGTGTTTAGTAGATTTCATTTAGGCAGAGTGTATATGAAGTTGCTTAACTTGTGGCCCCTTGACGACGTCCTGGTATTTGGAAAACATGCAAAGATTCAATTGTCCACTATGACAGGTATTATAAAACTCCTTGTGATAACAGTGCCTTTTGCGGAATCCTTTCTGTTTCTATAGGAGACTACAGCATTAATCACATAAAGCATTGCAGTTTATTTATTGAAATTTATAATGTAGTGAACCCTGGGATTATCAAAAGTAGAAATTTTAACAAAACAGATGAAATGCACCTTCAGTACGCCATTTTGTTTCTCAACCATGGCTATTTACTTTGGTTCTGTATGTCTGACCCATTTGAATTTCATTTTCCTAGGCTTTCTTCTAAGACTAACCAATTTGAAAAATTTGCCGAGTGCCCTTATTACAAGGCAACAGTATAGACAAGGACATTCGATTGGCTAAGGAATCATTTCTGCCATAACATTTTGAATAAGAAGTCTTGCTGTGTATTTCCTCATTGTATCTATTTAAAACTACGAAAAATTCAATAATCCATACAGCTTAGGATCGGCAAAAAATAAGTTGAGATACTAATACTTTTTTTCATGAAATGATTAGCGAAAAATACAATCCAAGGTTGAACTATGCGAGATCCAATGAAATCACAACATTAAAATTTGTAATATATGATTGGTCTCAGTAAACAGAACAACGAATATTCGTTGAAGTCATCTGAGACTAAGATCACTTGAAATACGGGAAAACGCCCATATTTGACACTATTTTACAAATAATAGTTTTTATGTGATGGATTGGTAAGATGTCATACCTTAAATGATTGCAAATTAAAACAAACTTTTAAATACTTATGAAGGCGGTGGCTATAATATGCTGCAATCCAGGATGAAGTAAAATAAATTTGTAAATGTAATAAGAGAGAATATATGGAAGCAATACAACGCTGAATTTCATGTTTCTGCATCAGTTTTGGCGCCAGCAGAGACTACCAGTGGCCTCCCGTAAGCCAAATGAATGCCTCCAGGGGCTATTGCTAGCATGCTTGTGCCAGTGCAAAAGGATAAGCACATGTGGTGTCCCCGCAAACAACAACAACATAAAACCTATCATTGGCTTGTTATTATTTTATCCTCGATATAATGCTGCATGAATCATCTGTAGCACACATTCCTCTTGTTTAATTAATGAATTCGAATTTAACCGCGAATCCCGGAATCAACTGAAGTTTACTTGTCTGCTGTATAAACGTTTGAATTATTAGGGGTTCATGAACAAGTAAAAAGAGGATGGAGCTAATATTTTCCCTCAAAAGTATTTACAAAACTTTAAAAACATCGGTTTTAAGTTAACTTGGTAGAAGAAAATTATACTTAAAAACCGCAAGTCTACAAACTAACTTCTTTTTTCAAATCAAATAGGATATAAAAAATAAGTTTAAGTGATGTCACTCAAGCTAGTCTTGTCTTTGCATTACTTCCAAAACTAGACTCGCAGTTAGTGAGTGTCGTTTCCACGATGGAGACTTGGAGCTTGGCCGAGTAAAGCACCCCAAACCTCCTGATAATATCATCAGCCTTATGAGCTTTCGCCAAGTTACCACAGCACGCAATTGAAGATTCGAGCGTGCCAAATTGGAGCCAAATTTTGTCAAGGGGCTGAGGAGTGAGACCTGTTGCTCGCCACTCGTCCACTCACACATTGTCGTCCCAGGGGTCATTAAAAAGACTCACGACAATTGAGGTTAGGAATTGGGATGACTTCAAATTGTACCGATATTCAAATGTACTTTATCCCACGACCGAAATTCATGGTGAAATACGCTCATGAAACGCCCACGCATGCCAGCATTCAACGTCACAGGTGACAAATCTGGGAAATGCACTTTAAGGACCCCAGGTGCTGTTAAATTTAATGTCACGTTGATATCACCGATAACATTTAAGTGGATACTTAGGAATGTGGCAGTAGAAATGTGTGATTCGCTAGGTTCGAAACTCTTAAACTAGTAAATTCGGCTCTTTTTCGCAAAATCGGGCTACTCACCATTAGCCTAAAGCCGAGACATGAAAAGTTAATATCTTTCATAGTCCATAAAATATCAAAAGTTATTGCGTAGGAGCTTTGCATCCAACACCTGTAAGATTATATCTCACAGAACTAAAAGTTAATGCTTTCGGCAAGGGTCGATATAGAGACAATTTCTATCTGATATCTATCACTGGGAGTGGTGCATTCATTTTAAGCATTATTTTAGGTAAATGTCTTCAATGCCAGGATTTTCTCGATCTAAACAAAATTCTACTGCGGTGAATCAATATAACGAAGGTTACATGTACATGCCTCAGATTAATGTGAAAAAGTGAACAGCACTTATCTAGGAATAAAGCGATTGATGGAGCTAAGACAAGAATCAGTGTTGCTGATAGACAACCAGACGAGCAACACAGACCGCAAAATTTGGCCTGTTAACGGACACCCCGGAGCCTGACCGTAAATATGCTAAGTGTGACTTTGACTTTCAACGAATATGTGGCTTTCAAAGCACAATGCTAATGTAATGCACAAGGATGCATAGACATTTGCAATTTAATGTGTGTGGTGTAAATTTTTACCTAAAAACTGAGCGAATCTGTAATTCAAGATCGACTGGGAAGGTTTTTTTGAAATACATAAGAATGCAAACATAGCCTAACACCTAAACCAGGTACCAACACAGTTACTATAACACTAAAGGGCGGAGAGAATACCGTAAAGTATTTTGCTCCCCATCGATCTACGCTGGCCAAATCAGTATTAATTCTTTAGTGAATAATGGATAAAGAAAGGACAACTTGAATGAAATTGTCCGATTCTTAAGGGCGTCCAAGGACACACCAAATGAATACTATCAATTAATTGTTATTAAATATCGGGATCATCGTCTTTTAAAGACCTTAGCACCGTTCAAAACTAGTAAAAATCTGGGAGCATCTATACACCAATTAAATGCAAAGTTAATAGTGTGCAGGTGACACTGTCTGAATTTCGTGAGGAAAGTGGTCAATCCCTACCATCATGTTTCGGGCACTTTGATCGTCATTGCAAGGTACTTATTTGCCTACCTCATATTGTGTTTTGTAATAACTAAAAGGTCAGCAGTCTTATTTCTATTCGTATTTGGGTAACGAAGAGAGCTATGAAATTCAACAGAGCGACTTAAGCTACTTCTTGGCTTTAAGTAGACCTTAGTTCACGAGATAGACTCGATTCCAGTGACATTGACATGCGGACACGTTCCGGCAACAAGATAACATCTCCAGATAGTATGCCAAAATGGACCTTTATTGGAGAGGTCGTCGCACTGAATGGATGGGGATTTAAATCAGCGATTCGAAGACATTCACACAAGGACCGATGTACGACACCCCCTCGTCCTTTCCGGCCAACCAGCAACCTTTACACCGTCAGTTAAAATGCATTTTCGTGGTTCCCGCAGACTATGTGGATCAATGAAGGTTAGCGACTCATAAACAGCATTGTAGGACAAACAAAAACGATGATTTCATGGGAAAAAATAATAATCACATTAAACCAACATCACTGGCTATACACAGAGCACAAAGGTTAGAATGCCAGATTATGATTTCGACAATGGTGAATGGGAAGGGAAGGTAGCAAGCACTGTCAGGGAGAGGAACAAGACGCACGGACTTCACAGGGGAGGGCTCTGGTCATGTGCCGAGCGTTGGTGACCACTTGAGGGGGAGCGAGTACGAGCGTGAGGGGGCCGTGAAGACAGAAGCAACGGTGATGGATCACATGTCGGCAGCGGCGGCCCATCCACAAACAAGGGCAGCCAACATGGCCTGGAGGGAATGGACTCGGACGAGAATGTGAGCGCGGAGGAATGTGATGCTTTCACAAAAATTTACAGCAGCTGTTCGTCTTCTTAGCCTGTAATAAGACCAAAAACGCATTGTGGATAAGGCAACGATCAGATTTGGAGTGGGGACATTCAAAAGTACATCCATACTGTTGCATTGAACTTTTGTTCGCAACGACTTGAATAAAGAATTTTTGTTAAAGGTCATCCAAAGCATGGTCAAATTGCGACATATTTGCTTGATTTGTAGGAATCTGTACAGCACATCCAGCAGCCTAATTAGGCAGGAATTTGGTTTAGAAAATCATTTAACAAATCAAGCGCAACATACACACACAGGAAATTGCTCGCTGTGCGACACGGTAGATTTCATAACTGTTCGATTTAGCATTCAGGGGAGTGAAGAGAACTCTGCAAGTTAGCACGGAGGGTGATACAATCGCACTACCTGAGAAAAGTCACTAGTTTATATGATGTGAGCGCAAAACATATTCTAAAACTACCTAAACAAAAAGCATAATCGAGCGCTATTGCGAAAAGGTGCACCGATTAAGAAGTAAGCAACAACCCATGGTAATTATTTCGGGAAAACATTCTTCCCGCTCCAACGGGTCAGTAAGAGTGTACGTAGGAAGAAATTGCACGAATAAAACTGATGCGGTTAGTATGAGCAGATTACGCATAAGTTTTGACCGAAGCGGGAACTCACAGTCTGATAGAAGAGCTTGGACTGAGAACTCAGGTCCTCCGACTTGCTAACCAGATCGTCGAGCTTTTCGCCACGCTCGATCAAAGTCTCGAGGGTTTGGTGCTGTAAGAGAAAGAAACTCGCAATGCACACGCAGAAGGACAGTCATAGAGTGCAAAAACACGCAATTTATAAGGTGCATTCTAGTACAGTGCTTTCGCAATATCAGGCTTTTTTTCATCCAGTCAATTACACCACTGATCAAAATGTGTGCGCTCAGATAAAGAATCGTGACCACAAAAGGGAGGGAAGCAACTTCCGTTCGGTGGCAAACTTTACCGTCGAAGGAACGGCAGTCAGCAATCCATTGAAAACACACGCATGTTCCAACACTATCTAACACCAAACGCATCAAAAGTGCACAAAACCCTTCAATTAGGCGTCAGTAGCCTTCGAGCATCATGGAAAAGTTTACACTTCTGAGTCGAAAAATGTCGCCTAACACTAAAATAAAAAACACAAGGTTGTTTTTTGACGTTGGCGAACTAAGGGCAACACGGACTGCCCTAGAACAGAATTAGGCTGATTTACCAGATGAAACAAAGTGCAAAAGTTGACGAATTACATTCACAATGCGAAAATGGCAAAACTACCTGGCAAGACCCGACCCCGGAAAACGAGTTCAGTCTTTTCACATAACCAGGCTTCGATAAAACTACTGAACACGGAAAATGACCACATTAGTTCTGAGACCGAATAACTTTAATCTTGCCTGCTAGAACGCGATGCGACGGTTGCAGGATAACATCCAACTCAAAGTGCTTCTAATCACAATCAAGTATGGGAGAGGTTAGCAGCAAAAAGAAGCAAATCGTCAACACTGAAATAGGTTTCTCAGTGATAACGGACTAAATCGCATTCGGTAAAGCATCTGGCGGGAACAACAGCTACCTTGATACGTGGTGCATTGTCTTGACCACGTCGGTGATTAGGGCGCTCAACCCGATCAACTGCCACCGCCCAGATCATCAGGCGACCTATTTCTGGGGGACTGTTGGTTCAGTAAATAAACATTGTGACCCACACTATGGGGAAGTGACTTTGACGAACCTCAATGCTACAGAAAAGTTGATCATCGACTCACGAGGATTTGTGTGGTATCCTCTACATCAGCCTGGAGCCTGGATAGACTGTCCGCTTGGCGGGGATCCTGATATTTGACAAGATATTCACCAAGCTTTCGCATGTTGGCACCCCTATAAGCAAACACATAATTTTATTTGCAAAATTAATAATATTACAGTTGTTTGTTGCAATATAAACAAGCGTAGAAGTGATAATTTTGACCTATACGGGAAGAAAATTCACAGTGAGTGAGCAGCAGCTTGTGCAATAGTTGGCAAGTACTTTGCATTTGAATTAGCAACATTATAACTCATTTTCATGGACTGCTTAAAACCTTGTAAATTACGGACACCCTATAATCACCATTACGTGTGTAGTACCAAATGGCGGAAGAAATTACTCGGGACAAATTGTCCGCGGCCAATCTGCGGTTAATTGGCATTTCCCTTTCAACAAAGAAGACAATGATATTTGGTTGTACGAGAAAATAACAATGAAGATTCAGATTAAATTGTTGACAATCGGTGCTCTCAAAAGAAACATTTGCAAAACGGCTTGAGAGTGCTCTTTACTATCCAAGAGTTAACAGATCTTAAGTTGGATTCGTTGGCTGCACTTCAACATTTGTGACGTCGTTTTGCTCTTATCTGGCGCCGACACAAAAAGAGAAAGTGGGTAGCACAGTATGCCATCATTCAACTCAACAATTACTTTTTAGAGAACATGAAAGTGCAGGTGAGATGTATGAATTAAAATAGCCCACAGACGTCTGAGAAATAATTGGCTGTCTTTAACAGAAAAAGTTTACGTTCATTTTTTGAGATAAAATGGGAAAATAAAACGCAATTTTCAGGCCCGTTTGGGGAAAGGAGCGCACAGCACCTTTTTATTTATAAATAAGTGAGTGGGATTTGTCACGTGGACTATAAACCACTACGAAAACTCAAAAACACAAATGTAAGCGAAAGTGCTTTTAGCTGCTCTTCCCACGCCATCCTGCCAAGCTCGTCCTGCGTGGGAGGAAGAGAATGGGCTATTTTGGGCCAAAGAGGTTTGATTAAACAAACGATGCGAAAGTTTGAGCAAACAATCAGTGGATATACGAATAAACGGACAACCCAAGAAACGCAAATTAGGACAATTAAGCATAAAACAAGGCCTGCGAGTACTGAAAATGGGAAAAGTGAAAGCGAAAAAGTAAACTGTGTGACGGCTTTGTTTCCGAAAGTGGAAGAGAGACATGACGAGAGGGTTCTTTGTTGGGCATGCTCCTGAGATCAATAGGGGGATGAAGACACGCCAGTTATTAAATCGTCCAATGTAATTGGTGGATATGTGCGACTAGAAGGGCGGTAATTTGCCCCGCATGATTATCAGGGAATACAATAGACTGATAACAAAAAAGGTACTCCCATTCATTATAAATTGCCATTACTTTGTTCAAAACTCCGTGCAGGCACCATATCAGTTGACTAGGAATCAAAATAGAACAGAATTATGATTTTACCTAGGCAACCATTCTTGCTTATCACTATCCTCTCTGATAGCTACGCGGGAAATGGTTCACTAGTTTGAATGATGATAAAAAGGCCCAGAGAGAGCAAGCATAGGCCTTTAACGTCTTACGATTTAGAGGAAACACTCAAATGAATTCAGTTAAAGGTGCATTTGGAGAAATATAGGTTTCACTTTTAACCCCTTCATGTAAATTTAATTTCCAAACGCGAAACTAGGGCACCATTAAAATGAGCGTTGTGCCATTCAGAAAGCACAAAATCTACGGCCCACTACCAGGGGAAAGCCGAAAAGCCAATAAAGATTTTTGCTTGTTGTCAGAAGTTGGCCACTGGGACCACATGAAAGAGGCTAGGAATTTGCATGTCGCCGGAATTAGTTCTCCCAGTGGATGAACATTGAGAGTTGATTCGTGGGGAAATCCTCTGACTCGAAACCACTTAAAAGCTAAGAAACCCCGGGCATGGACAAGACAAAATTGATTCACTGATGAAAGACTCACGTACCCAGCAGACATGGTGAGCCATGTGGAAGGCGGATATTCGGTCGTGAACTCCTCGAGGGTCTAAAATAAACACGACGTTAGCACCAAAATAAGTGGCAAGACAAAACCTAGGAGACCTTAAATGACGCATGTATTCTTAATCCCCTGACAAGCATCCGAGACATTTTACAGAGTAGGACCATTATACGGAATTCATGTGAATGAAACAGACATCCTTCAACGAGTGACAACTTACCGAGGTGGGTACAGGTTGTTTTCAAAACTAGACAAGTCAGTAAATGCGGCTAGTCTTATTAAGCTGACATGCAGAGGGGGCAGAATGAAAGGATTGCAGTTTACGGTAAGTTCTCATCTAAGGCTTGTTTACGAGAGTGAAGTCTACCGTTTAGAGGGGAGGTTAACCAAGGCAACAAATATTTCGCCACGTGAGGGGAAACGGATGGAGAGGGACCATCGAATTACCACCGGCGCAGTTGTAGGTGGGGTCAGTATAACATGTGGTTCAGTACATGCCATGGTTAAAAGAAAAAACAAAGATTTAATTGGATCAAAGAAGGTTGGGTAAAAAGTACTGTAGAAGGATTTGTTATGCCAAAAAAGAACAGTACTAGTAAGTTGAGCCAAAAATGAAACAAATCCCACACGCTTTTTGATCCATGTTTTGATTCAAATGTAATGACCTGACCTACACTAGGCATCAAATTAACCAACGATACCCTTGACTGTCAGAAAAAGACGTTGACAAAAGGGAAAAGTAAGCTAAATAATTTCGTGTACTGTCTACAGAAGAAGTCATTCACAGGAAGCTACAATGAATACGAGGAGAGGTGTGACCGGAAAACGACATGAGAAAGTGCGCCACAGACCACATTTTTGTCCCGATAAGACCTCAGTTTATTAGCCAATATATTTTGTCGGCTTCACGTGAGTATCATTAAAGGCGCGCTGATAGCGCCTGCTCTAACTCTGTTTAACGAATTTGAAATTGCGTGGATTTAGGTTACGACGAAGATGAGTACCTGAATACAGTATGGAAAGAACACAAAATTGAAAACTTAGCTATAAAAAATGCAATGGCGCTGGATGAAGGGGCTGTAGGTCGGTTGGTTTTTAAAAAAATTCACAATCCCCTGTTCCCAAGCCCTTAATTTAAGCCTTCCCTCTTGTTTGACGTAAATTATTTACTCACGCCACTGTAGCTTGACAGCTAAACCAATTAAAAAAAAACAAACTGTAGTGTCGACTTCGGTAGTCATAACAACCTTTATTATACATAGAACAGACAAATAACCCCGGGGAATGTATAAGTTTAGCTTTTACATTTTTTAGCTCCAATATCTTAAGGCATGGCGAAGGATTCTAATCCTTACAACAATATCTGTGCTGCCCAGAAAAAAACACGTTTCTGTAAACCAAGCACAATTTCACAAGCCAAACAAGCCTGGAATCAACACGTCAAGCGGCCGCGTCATCGTTTAATAATGCACAATGTGTGACCATACTGTTGTATTTATTTTTGGCCTGTTAGGCTTCGAAAACGAGACGCTATCGCCACTACCATACACCACAAGACCTGAAAGCATCTAGCTCAGCATTTTTTCATTAGAAAAGAGGCGAACCAAAAGAATTATGTCTCTGTGTGAAACTCCGACTTCTAGGTTTAATCTATTTTATCTATATACTTCCTGAGTAACACGCATAGAGCTGTTAAAAAAGTGTATATTGGACCACCCCGAATGTGTCAAGATTCAATAAAACGCCTACCTAATACGTGGAATTCGCTGCGAATGGATGGCCAGGAGCCGTCGTGTTGTCAATATTGGCGATTATTACAGTATTTTATGCATATTGTTACGTTTTACCCGTAGCAGGAAACACTCAGACAACCGGTACCCAAGATCCCTTGTCTGAGATGAGACGAGACCTCGATCAGAGAGCTTTAAAGGTCTCAGCCAAATGCCAAGTGATCAGTCCAACTGGCTGCTTAAATAAGTCAAGGATGACCTTGACCTGATGGATCAAAGCGGATTAACACGGATGGAGATGTACAGTGGCGTGGTTAGGGGAACGGTGTGAACAATAAGGAAATCGGTGATCAGTCATCTTGAGGAATCCTGGATCTCCAGCACATTGGAAACTTAGAAACGCGCTAATCTTGAACTAGAATTTCCCCCTCTCTTGGACGAAACGGTATTTCCTAAATTACACTACGCTCCCTTTCAATTAGGCATGACTATAGAATAGGAGACTAACAAGTTACCGAAGATATAAACACCATTGATTCTAAGGACAACTTTCCATGTCTCGAATTAAGCAGTCAACGCGTCACCAGACCAGACGTATGGAGTCTGCGCAAAGATACACAGTTGGCGGCAAAACTCAAGGCCATCAAAATAAAAAAAGAACTTGATCAGATGTGATGGTTCCATTTAGAATAAACTGGTGGTCTTTCCGAATAGACTGAGCTGTCAAGCGCTAGTCTCACCGACGAGTGAGTCAAAAATGTCACGTGGAAAAATACGTGCATAATTTGAACAGTGACAGCACGTAATTCGGAATAATTACCATACACAACGTGTGAGAGTCGGAGTGCCGGCTTGGCATTCAGTTAGCATTAAAAAAGCTCAAGCTACAATGCACCAAAATCTGTGTTTTGAGCTTTCCCTCTACACTGGCTTGGCATCGCATCCTTTGATATTTGCTTTGGCAAAAATAGCCAATTGGTTGACAATCGTGAATTCAATGGTCAACTAGATAAGAACACTGATGATCTGAAATTAATGAGCTCAACTAGGACGATTCGTTGTTAACGTACCCAATATACCAGTGCCTTGAAAAGTGATAATTTTTTAAACTTGCTAATCCTTTGATTATTTATTAAATTTACACTCAGTACGATTACACATCTGTTGCATCCGTACTGGCGGAACGCAGTTTTACAAGTAGGCAACAAAAGAGGTTCTTCAAGGCCAGTCGGCAATAATTGAACCGCAATGGGAAGACCGACGAATTTGCATTGATGAAACTTCTATCAAAAAGCCGTAAACTTTTAAATGACTGTAAGTTAGACAGCATGGAGGGAATTTTAAGCGGCAATTAACGTTAACTCTGGAATGCAGTGAACCGCATTGAACACGTGAGCAAAGTTTTTGTCTAGTGAAGTGCAGGAGGCAAACGCTGATTCACCACACATGAAATGGTATGATAGTTGAGATTTTAATGGGTAAGTGATAATAACGATTTTTTAAATATGCATACTCAAGAGAAAAAATGACGCGCAATCACGTAAGATGAGAGAGCAGGAAAAAAATTAGGGACGGAAACAAAAAACGATAGGAGTTCGGGCAATTCAGTAAGACACTGCAACGACACTCAGCTAGATCGATGGATGAAAAATCGAGACGCATTAGAAAATACTCCTTTGGGCGAACGCTTTGGAGGTACACAGAAGTATTATATATTCACCCTATAGACCCTCAAAAAAAGCGCCCTCAACAACGTCACGACCCCTATCAAGAAAAAAAGGCCTTCACAACTGGAGCCCTGGGTTTGTTTGCTTCTGGTGGACCAACAAATCCATGGCAGTGATGCCCGTGCAGCTGAGTTATTGTTCGCTTAAACTATGCCTTTTAGAAAGAAGCAAGAACCAACCGTGAAATCGGTCAACTTCGTCAACTTGTACAGGCCACATCTGATGACTAAAAATTCTTCGGTTACACAGAACAGAGTTGATTATGTGTCTGATTCCCGGATGCAATCTGTTGTATGCAAATAGAATTTAATGTTATTGTAAATCCCGTGACCTTATTGGTTTACCCCTACTTCATTTATTAAAAAAAATTACAAATACTAGAAACACCTGGACGCTCACCTAGAGGACTAAACTTTATAACAATAAATTGACTTAGTGTTTACAAGTCGCACAATCAGGAAGTAAAAACGCTGGTACTAAAGAATGTCCCAAAATAACTTAAATACATGTCTTGGTCTAGGGTGGTTAAAACTTGCACCTATTCGTGTGTAAAATTAGTCTGGTTAGCAAGTAGCAAGTACATTAGTGAGTATAATTCCGTAGAAACATGGAATGGCGCATTTTTAAGCCCTTTGAGGCCCCCACGAGGCGAATGGTGGGAGATTAGAGTTCCTAGTTAAGTGAAATAGCTAAGCCTATTATTTGCAAATTTCACGCCACCGAGACTCACGACAAAACTGCTTGCCACTAGCTTAGAACAATAAATACAGCTTATGTTTAAGATTTGATTTAAAAAGAAAAGCAACTCGATAACATACCTTCGTTAGTAGTGTTTGTGCGACTCTCTGTGGGTATTCGTGATCAGAAAAGACAACCGCACACAGTTTATCGTGACGCACAAAAATGTGGCAGAAGTATTCTAAAACAAAGGGAAATCATGGTAATGTCTTGAGTAAAAACGAGGTCAACGCTCTTCAGCATTTTCATCGAAACGAAGAACCCCCAGGAGAGCAAAGCAATTTCGCTAAAACAATAGTTCGTAGCCAACGTAGCCACTAACCTAAAAGCCAAGCAACTCCAATACCGTCAACAGAAACCTAGCCAAATAACCGAATGATTGTTAATTGGATTAATAACATACATACAGGGTGCATGATGTTCTTACACATTTGCAGGCGGATTTAGGTTTATTACCAGAGATCAGTGGCTTACGTGAGTTGGAGTAAATGAAAGCGGACAAATGAGCGGTTTTGGCAAAGTTATCAACAATGCGGAGAAACTCACCACTTTCCTGTACAGCAGCTCGACTGCAAACAGCGGTTCGTTCACAGACCAATTTGGCCGTAAAATCGAGGAACTCCTGCACACTTCCACGTTGGAAGAAGCTGAAGCTGGAGAGCTCATACACACCTTGAAGTTGCTTCGGCTTGGTGTCACCTTTATATAAAACTTGGATTGAGAAGAGTTTCATTTTAATCTAAAATGTAAAAAAGGCTAAATAACGCTATGCATTTTTCTTATAAGGGCCAAAATACACGTACAAAGTAAAAAAGGCCATCTGGATGATGATGATGATTATTATTATATTATGATGACAACCCAATAATTGATGTGATTTAGCTTGATTGAATAACAACGAAAGAGCAGTAACAATTACAAACAGTCACGATCTAGGAATTTAATTAAAAAACGAGTAAATGTTGTAGTAACTACTGCTATCATGCACTGAAAACTATCCACGCTAACATTTATTAACAGGACTTTCAAAAAGATTTATCGTGCATTTTGAATTGCATTTGCACGACGGCCCCATGAATACCTCCGTCGCACATGAAGTATCGTGCAATGACAGCCCTAAAGCAATTGGACGCAAGCAGGGGAAATGTTGTACCGTTTTCACCAATACGAGGAAAATGATCACTTAGTGGTATGATGGATGAAACAGAAAAAGGCTCGAACCACGACGGCACATACATCTTAAATAAACTTTTTTTTAAATTCCAGCTCATTCAAATCACTTAAAAAGCAGCTTGACAACACACAAAAACAACACTAAATCAAAAGCCTTTTAAATGCCAAGTGTGTTAGGTGATGACGGTGAAAAAAAACGTGATCAGCTTCCCATGTGACTGTTGTCTCCACAAAAAAATATAAGGCAATTTGCCGGTGAACAAGTACCACTGTTAGCTACTGAGAGTACAGTCAACAAGAAAGCCCCACTAGAGATTCCTGATTCAAAAAAAAATAACTAGAGGACAAATAATGTAGAAATACCAGACTAGGCCACGTAGTAAAAATAGCAAATCATGAGATTTTTAAAAAAAGGGTAAAATGAATTTGGTTCTCCGACAAACGTTCTCGTACGAACAGATTAACTAACTCCTAGAGAAATAATTAGGCTTAGCGCAAGCCAGGCTGGCTCAACATTTAAAATGGTTAGAATATAGCTCCCAAGACTAAGACGTTTTTTCTGGAATTATCGCTCTAATATACTAAGGATTATAAACGATGAAAAAGACTGATTTCATCAATGGCAAAAATGTCGCATTAAGTTTTGCTTAATATATCTAATTAGCTCATACAATACATGTACGTCATTTCAAGACTTTTTAGGCTAGAATAATTTACCGCCATTTGTATTTGGTGTAGATTATAATCAATGTTCCACTTGAACTTCGTCCTTTGCTGGTTTAAAAGCACCACATGGGCCCTTTTTGATACATTTTTCTGTGCACAATCCCACGCACTTTATTGCGATGCTTTGTGGATAAAGTTTTACGCGTGATCAGACGTCTTGAAAACGGTTAACCACTCAAAGCATCACAGCGAACCCGATAAAAATGACGCAGCAGCAAATAACTAAACCAGTCAGCTACCTGGTTGATGATTGACATTTGAAAATTTCCCTAACCCTAATTCATCTGCTTCAAATAGGCTGTGGAGATCAAATCGATACTTATAAGGTAATAAACTTCTTGATTGAGAAATAAATAAAAGCAATGAAATTGTCAGCTCAAAAGTAGTGGAAGTACAGTGAAAGCAGACCAGATATATCCACAGCTGGGAGAAAAGAGGCCTTGACACTGCTCAAACAAGGATGATATTTTGTTGAACCTCACTATATAGGTAGCTTTTTAAAAACACATTGCGGGTTATGTCGATAGCAGATAAGTGCACAAAAGACAACCCTACTTTATGGATTAGATCCAGACTTCATGGTTCATTGTTGACAACGAACAAATATTTTAAATGGAATCGTGGATTTTATGAAGTGAACTGTAGGAGATCGAGGGGTTCGGTATTATTGAGCAGTGAAATTAAAACGCATTATAAGAATCCACAAGACAGCAACAATTAACCCCCATTTACATAATTAATCTGACGAATCCAAAATGATATAATGCATCAACTCAGTCGCATGGACATAGAGAAAGTGGTGTGGAAAATGCAAGATGGTATTGCAAGAAAACCCAAAAATTTACTTTTGGAACGGCAACGACGCCCATATTTACATTTAGCAACGAGACTTTAAGCCGCTACGTGTGACTTCATGAACTGGATGGCGCTGACTCCTGTAAGCACAATCATCCTATCGCCAGTCACGATGGCCCACCGATTTTTGACGTTAAGAAGTAAATTTATAGATCCTAGATGAAGGAACCGAGTTTTCGAATCAACAGACAACATTGGTCGTAGATAATATGACTGCACTTGAATGAACGCAACTAAGTCAAGATACATCCACCCAATAAATAACACTTATTTTAAACTAACTGATTGAAAATGGGAAAAGGAATCTTCGTTACGTGAACAAAATAGCGTACAATGAAATAAATAGAGACTTGTCCTCACCAATATAAACGTCTACGTGTAAGTAGTCTACACACCGATTGGACAAACCAATTTGTCGACTTTGACCTTCAAATGTTATGTTAATGAAATGTGTAGCTAGAGCTCCAGTCGAGTTGCCAAAAAATCTCTGGTTTGAGTTAATTTTATATCTACATATTTTTTAAGACTACAAAAAATTAACCCACCCTTAGGTTTGCACAAGATGGTTAGGGTTCGTAGATCGTTGTGAACTTACTATGAAATAATATTCAATTTTATGTAGTTAATTGTAGTGCTTCTAACAGTTTTGCAACGCGTGAGAAAAATTACATTACAGGCAATGTGGTCATCTGATATAAATATTTCAACTACATTCAATTAAATTTGAATGTTTAGCTCTGAACTTAAATATTAGTCAGATATGAAAGTCATTTGAGTTAACATTAGTCAAATTTTAAAAATGCTAGCGGACGAAAAGCAAAGGATTAATTAATTATTCCAATTTCGTCCATGGAATAAATTAGTTTATACACATATACTGCATCAATGCCCTGTTTTACATCTAAATTTGTCTGTCAACCCAATAGAATTTTGCCTGTTCTACTACTTGTATTTAGGTGACCACATAGATATTCTTAATAATGAAAACGACACTAATTAAAATGAGATTAGATCGAATCTAGTGGAAGAATGATGCTAATTTACTGTAAGACCAAAAAAAAACAAATATTTGAATTTTGAGGTTGAAACCATGTAAAGCTTAGTTCTAGTAAGATATTGCCGTCAATTGCCAAGTAGTTAAAATGCGGTTTTCTATGAGCATACTAAGCTGTCTTAGCTGTAAAAAGTCGAGAATGGGGACTCACTGTGTGTCCAAAAAAATTTTTGTATTCAGAAGCCAATAAATTCCTCAAATTCTAATTGGAAACGCGAAATCGATATTTCGAATCAATGTTAATGTCTGTTCCAGATTTTTGGAAAAATAGTTTCTTTCGGTCTTTTGGTGTACCTTTTTTTCTTAATCATAATTTAGTTCGTGATGAGTGGTGACCATGCAGTTGTCGCTAATATAATTTTTTTCTTTTAATAAACAAAGTCATCCAATTCAAAAGGGGTTATTTATAAGTACCAGTCAACTGAGAAAATCATTTTGACACTTAACCTAGGTAAATCCCGTTCTCGATCTAATGTACAACTTGACGGTGTTGTGAATCGTGTTTATTCGCACCCCTTATTCCAGTCGCTTCACCTCCAACACAGGGTTCGTTTTTTCGCAGCATGTCACCACCCGCGCAGATCCTCAACTCCTCTCACATTCACACGGATATTTATCTTGGATTATCCTCACACCTAGGTCTCGATGTTAGCGCATATATGACTCACACACCGAGGTATAAATACACACGCGCAAAACCCACACACGACACAACGACACCAACGTGATTGAGCTCTGAAGTAAACGGTTGTGTCTACGTCATCTTCGATCTTTTTCTTCATGCAGGGTATCATGGAAATTTAATCAGGCCATGGATAATCCTGTGGCCCAGGAGTGGTTCAAGTCCACATGTTGGTGCCCACAACAACGGTATTTCTTAGGTAAAATTGCCATTCCATTCTCAAGCGCCAGGCAGCTTTAACTCGTCAAATTTTAACACCTCATGTTCTTGAAATAATAGTACTTCTTCAACATAAATAAGAATTTGAGTTATTTGCTAGTATTAAACTACTCCTACAATTAATCTAGCACTGCCGCTTTTTATGTTTGAACACTTTATATTACATTTTATTACTCAATGATCGCTGTGAATTTAACGACTTAAATAGTTTCACCTTTAATAATTCAGACACTTTATGCTTGGTTTCACATTCCGAATCATAACAGCGATTGTTACATACTCTCTTACCACATAATGATATACAAATTTAGGTAGTGTCTATTGTAGCGAATCTCAGACACATTCACGAAAATGTTACTCAAAGCCTTAAATGGCCTTTTTAAGGTCTGTATAATGGAAATGGATTGGCCGCTACTTAAATATTATGGCTGGTCAAATAAAATTAGACCTCAAGAGTGTAAGTTAACCTTCTGTAATTAAATGTGAATACTGCTGAACAGTGATATTGCGTGCGTTTTTTATTTACTGATTGATTGACACACAAAAGAAATGTGGTAGAAAATGCCGGTAGTAAATTGTAAAGTGAATTTAACTAATTGGGGTCTATAAAGAATACAAGGTATGTGCTGCTACTGTTAAATTGTTGAGTTGGACGGGTTAAGATTAGCTTTCACTTTGTTTTTTATGGCACGGTCTGTTTAACTGATATGGTATTTTGGTTATAATTAAAACTAATTTCGAAATGTTTACGCAAAAACACAAGTACAAACTGTATGTAAATGAAATTTTGGACTCTCAGTCTCTCCATTAGCAACACTTGCCGTACAATCTTAAAAGTTCTGCTTGCTAAATTTAAATTTTTATTCAAATTTAAAATCTTTGCCACACATTATGCCAAAATCGAGGCAAATAAAGTTTGTGCTGCGCGAAATTGAGAAGCCGTAACAAGAATTGCATCATGAAACTTTTGACACAAGTTTTGATGGTATCAAGTCCACAAGGCAGCCGAATTTCCGAATTAAGTCTAGAAAACAACAATATAGTATGTAGTCCAAATCATTTTACGGACCCACACTTCACAGCTAATTACAACTTAAGTTGTAGTTAATTGGACCTGTAAACTTAATTATTGCACTTTGTTAAGAGCACATTAACAATCTAGCAAGTCAAGAAGATGTGTTCTGGACAAATATTCCTGTCAGTATAATTATGTGTTAAGTTCGACAATGTCACACTTAGTGGGTTGTCTGGTCTAATTCAAAGAAGTTATTGATGAGCCACATTCAGTTACGTGTACGTTTTAAGGACGCGATTGCATCTAGGTATGACACAAGGAATCCAGAATCAAGTATGAAGGCTCGACAGCGTTTCGGACTGCCTAGCATAGTTGTAATGGATCATGCTTGTAAATGATTATTTTGCGTTCGTGAGCGTGAATGGCTGGGCATCAGCGTCAGTGGTATGTCATACATAAAGGGTCATCAGGAACCTGGATCAGAGGGAGGAAATACGAAGACGCAGTGTCAAACGGTTAAGTGCAGAATCAGAAAGGATCACTACGTCGAGCAATGACTACGCTGAGAATTAAGGTATTATGGGCATAATTAAGTACATTGTTCATAGATACTTCATTGTTAATAACCTTTATCCATCGCAGACTTTCAACTCCCTTCTTTTAAATTGATGGTTGTTTTATAACCAAGGCGCAAACAGGAGGTAGTAGTTCACCAAGGCATGGGTCACGGGCTCCCGACTCTGTTTATTGTCTTGGACGATTCTGGCCCCACGAGGCCTTGATTAATCATTATAGAGGATGACACCTTCTACACTGTCAAAGTAATATTTAAGTTGTCAATGTGTGAACCACTCAATATAATCCTTTTATGATCTTCAACATTAGTTTATTTTTGACCGTGAATCTTTAGTTAAACTTGGAAAGAAAAAAATACTTTAGATACTTCCCAGCAGAATTTTGATGAAGAGTCTTTGCTACTTATTTTTTCGCCTTCCCGTGTTTGTTTAAACACGGTTTTACTATAAAACATTTTTTGGCAATTTTTAAACGTTTCGCTTGAAATACAATAGATTCCCCAAATTTTAATCAGCCACAAGTTTCAAAACCATGGTTTCATATTTAAATCACAACATCAGGATATGCAATGATTAATGGCACATCTCTAAATGTTAAATACGAAACTTCATAGCTTGGACTTTAAAGTTAAAACAATAGACGTAAGTTCTTTTCTAGTAAGCAATAGTGCCTACTAAGATTACTGTGTTTAATCCTGCAGTGAATTGTGTTAATTTACATGTGACGTTTCATGTCTGGACACCGTATATCTATCCCTACCCCTATTTCCGAGCCAAATCCAATGAAGCAGTTTTGCCACACACTATGCGTCAAATCCTTCAGACGCTTGTACTTATACTGGGTCACCTCAACAAGTCATTGATATTTCAAACATCAAATTCGTATTTTTCGCAACCGGTGCATTAGGTCGCTGTCATACATTAAGTGAATTGTTTTAAGTACTCTAAGAGTTGCTTCACCTGGTTGGCCATCATTTCCCTTTCCCCCATGCTTCACTCATTTAAACAAATATCCAGTCACGGGTTCTCTAATTCTGGGATTTGCTAAAAGGCTGGCATAACTGCAGTGGTCAGTCATTTAAACTTGACTTTTATTATCTCGTGCTCTAAGAATATTACACACAAAAAACAACTTAATCATTTTACAAGGATTTTGACTACCCGACTTTTAAACACCATTGCTCATTGATTTTTTTTCAGGTTCAAGCTATTCCATCATGCCGACGAATGCTGTGATGCCCTATGCCATAGAACTTGGTGAGAATTTTAACGGGAACATTGCTATTGCGGCACCAGCTTTTGATGAGGACAAATTACTTATTTATAGGGAAATTTTCTATGATGGCTTCGCCGTAGTCATCGCCGCTCGTGATCTTACCACCGGCGGGGCGGTAGCGATTAAAAAAACGGATTTTGGCTACCTTGGCAACTGCTTTACTAAAGTGACGTACATCCAAAGGCGTATTTCAGCCAAACTCAGAAAACAAACAACGCGCATAAAGACTCTTTCTCATCCGGCCGTAATGAAATTGCTGGATTTCGTCCTAGAACCTCGCAGGATTGTTATAATCACTGAAATGTGTCTTTTTGGAGATCTGTTCAACTGGATGCTCCAGCAACACACAATTCGGTTTCGTGATGTTTTAGTTATGCTGCACGGTTTATTCCAAGCATTTCAGTTTCTTCATGATAAAGGGTACACACATGGATATCTAAAACCTACAAACGTTTTATTTCAAACGATTTCTCCGCATTCCTTAGTTATTTTACCTGACCTCAGCGTCAAAAAAGAGGCAGCGTACCTTTTGAGCAGCCCCCTAGCAACTTGTCAAAGCTGTACTGCCCCAGAAGCTTTGCTGAAACTTGCAGATTCTGTGGACACACCTCCGGAACTGGACCCAACGAAATGCGATGATGACGCATTTTTTGGCACGAAGGAAATGGATGTTTGGAGTATCGGCGTAATCGCTCTTATAGCTCTTACAGGTGTCAATTTCTTTCATTATAAATCAATACAGGAACTTAAAGAGCCTTTGGACTCTCGGCTTGAAAAGGCTTTTTCTCATCCCATCCTTAGTATGTGCAACAAAGATCTCGTCACTAATTTGAAACGCTTTCTTACGAGTGATCCCCGCAGCCGTGCGACAGCAGCAATTGGAGCCAAGATCAACTGGATTGATGAGGCCAAGGTGGTAGATGATGACAGAAATCTACTTTTCATGATGGAGTATGATCTTCTAAACACATGTAAATACTTTCGGAGCTATGGTCTTACGGTTTTGAATGAATTGTTAGATAGCGTGCGGGAGCCATAAATGAGACAGCAAGGCGTTGCCTAAACACTTGGGGGAGTATTAATATGAATTGGCTGGTAAATTACAGTAACTTATTTTAATGAACACATCTTTTTCAGTCCAGATGATCATTTTTTGCAAATCGCTCAGAACTTAATCAAAAATGTCAAGTTTACACTGATTGTGTATTTATATTAATTTAACATGATTTGCTGCCCATACAATCTCAAAATTTCGTGTGATAATTTGGATATGAGCTATTATGCTCCAGACCTCCACAGTAGTATCTGGTTTTTATTCTTGCATGGAATGTGGCAAAACGAGCGACAAATTCAAATCGGGATGATTGACTTTCGAAAGGTGTTATCTTACTTTGTAACTGTATAACTTATGGGGATTACTTTAAATTAAACCGATCTAAGTGAAATTTCGCTGAGAGTCAAAACACCTTTGAGACAGCCATGGTAATTAAATCTAAAAATAATGTTGATCTTTTCAGTACTGTGTTCTTTTTACGAATACTGAATTGTTATCAAGATTAGATAATTTATGTGCTGGTAAAAATAAATGAAAAGTGTGCCTACTACAGGAAATCGAACTGATTTTTGTGTAAAAACGTTAGAAAGCAGAAACAGTGGAGTATCGCTGCCTGTCTTAAACATCTGATGTCAATTTAGTATTTATCTCTCTTTGCAACGCAAATCGCTAGAAGATTCTTAAACTTGGTTTAAGGAGTAGAAGAAATGAACTTATTTGTAGCTTGTGATTTTTGAAAAATTAGCTGGGCCAGCACTAATCGAGACAAATTCTTTGAATTGCTATACTCAGATCATGTATACCTAAAACGTAACTTGTAATTACGATTTAGGTCATCACAACTCTTGTTTTTAGGACCTTGCAGGAAGGCATTAAGCATTACTGTGTAATAAATCACAGAACTGTGGGGAAAACTCTTAGAGGAAGACTTGACAGTCCACATTCTGTGGTTGACATTGGAAGTAATCGCATTGTTGAAGCCTCTTTCGTTAGTTGTCCGTGGAAGTCCAAATGACGAGCCTCACAGTAACTTGCATGTCTATAAGTTCTACTGTAATGATGTAGCATGTCATGCCAAATTGAAAACATGCCTCTTACATTTGCTTCACTCATGGATTTAAGCCGACTCAAGCCTTACATGAAGTCCACAGGGTGGATATCACTTGGTTGGCAAAACTTATTTACGTGTGTTCAAAAATAAGCTTTTGTGAAAGCCTAGAAATATGTAGCACATTGTAGCAAAGACTGGGAGCATTTAAGTAAATATAAGGGTTGGGATGACGGTTGCAACAAGTTAATTTTCGTTGAAGAACGCTGTTGGCATTGAAAGCAAAATCTGTGATTTGCTCTATGTGACCTTTTCTTCAAATACATTACACCAAATAGTTACTGACAAAGACAAGGGTAAATTTTATCAAACTGACTAAAGGTTTTCTGGCTATCCGTTCAATTCCGATTTGCTCTCACGTTTAAGTACTATTCTTTATATAAGCCTTCATATTTTCAAGTATTTTACTTCGAGTAAATGTAGCTTAAAGGGTGGTCATGTTTAGCACACTTTTGTTTCAACGGACACATTTTACTTAGTAATTTAAAGGAACACCTAAAAGCAGTCACACAATCAATAAATGTAGTTAGTTGTAGCATATAGTAGCAGTGAAATACATATTTTGTTAATTGCAATTTTTGGCCAGCACATAAATTTGTTGCCTCTTAACTTCAAAAAGATATGGACAGGGAAATAATATTAACAGAAGTATTATTACTTGTTTCAGAATAAACATAGATCACATTTAATTTAGAATATTATCTTGACATATTGCTACACGGTTATGGGTGTAGTGAGCGGATAATCTTCAAACATTGTGCTTTGGAACCATAGCACAAGTTCAAGCTGACACTTACTATGCTTAACCATTAAGAATAGACATATCACGCTTACGTCAGTTTAAAACAATTGAGCATACTGACATCATGGACCTTGCTATTTGCATAAATCGCAAAGAAACATGTCATCAACACACTCACACGAATTAGCGTATCAGCGAATTTCCATTTCAACTAATAAATTATGAACAACGAACAATAAGATATTATCTCCTCATGATCTAGAAATCACCAGAAATCATGACCCTTCCACTTATCAAATCATATTTTCTCGTGTTAGATCATTATGAGAGATGGTTTTAGCAACTGGACTTCCCGTTTATGAAACCTAATTATTTTCTACCTCTTAAGGCTAATGCACCTGCATGTGACATGGGTCAACCATAATTAATCATCGGTTGAACTTGTTGTACATAAACGTCTGGTCAATTTTTTGAATTCAGTTCCTAACTTACTTCAACGATAGCAACACGACCTATTGACAGCTAGAATCTATCTGCTCAATTTTTGTAAGACACTTATATTTTCGGTTACGTATACATCTCTATTCCTGACAAACTTGGTAGACTGAATAAGTCCTATTACCAACACTTGCCAGCTACCTCGAATCAAATTAAACAAATTGTGCTAACCTTTTATAGTTGCCTTCATGCCCATAAGTATTTAGTACGGTTCCAGAGACAGAGAGCTTGATCCTGAAAAACTTTTACTCTGCCGAACCTATAAGTAATTTTCGAAGTACTGTTGGTCGATATCTTAAAATATCCAATGACTGTGAAACAACGAAAGCTGCGTGTTCATGATAAATTTTCCGAAGGAAAGTTCAAAGGCCGTTGACCATAGCCGGTACTAGTAATTTACACTTTACTATTTCACGAAGGCTTTAAGTACATTCGTTCACCGCTCTCCCGTCTACGTCCAAAGGTTGGCAAAACATCGAATCATGCCCTGCATAAAGGTCATTAGAAGTTATACTTTTTTTAACTCCATCAAAATTGCTTACTGTCATGCTAGACAACATTATATCAGACACGCGACTCGCAGTCATATCCATAAATCTAATGGGTGCCAAGTTGGCCACGACGAAATTAATGATCTTAACAGATTATTCCTTGTAAGTTTATGTGAAAATGTTTATTCAGTTCAAAAACCACAACAATATTTGCAAGTGAAAAGCCTAATAGCAATCACATAATTTCGAGATATCTGTTTGAAAGAGAATTGTCATCGAATCCATGATGTCTTTCCAAACACAATTTTTTTAAAATCAGCGTTTTAAATTTCACTCGTCGATTAATAAAATAACTCAATGGATATTTTATTTATATATAATTCAACTTACCAGAATAAGCTTACAAAAAGAACTTTTTACATGATTTTTTTGTCTTGGTTTTAGAAATACGATTTTAGATTTCCACCGTCTAATCTCTGCAGGTCCAAGTTGACTAAATTCATAATTCTGATTGCAAAGTGTCATTTTTTTGCATTCACTACAATACTTCACCACAGCAATCAGATTTTAAATTATTTGATAAAAATATGCTGATTATAGTTTGAAACTCGAAGCGACCCAGCTTGTTTTAGCGCGTCAATAATCATCTACATATTGTAAGTAGAAAGCGCACCTACTCAACCTGCTTGACAGAGTTATTCTGTCCAACTGGGACCAGAGGTTTAGCAATGGCAGATGAAGATGTACTTTTTGATGATGTGTATCAACTGTGTGAAATAATTGGGAAGTGCGTATCAGCGTCTTGTAATATATTGTTCTAAAATAGATGAGCTTAAATTATTTATATTTGTGCTAGTCGTACGTAATATCATTGCCTTCTGATAAGGCTTTTTTCTTATTTTTTGTTATAACAGTAAGAAACTTATTTCTACCAGTGAACCTGGTGGTCATTTCCTCTTAAATCTCATCAGTTTTTGGTTGTCTGAAAACGAATTTATGATGTGCTTAAGTATCTGCATGTTAGTCACATAAACTCTCTGAAATATGCTTGTAAATTGCTTTTTTGTTAAAATAATCCCTTTGCTTATTGTTTGTTTGTCTGTAGATGTTTATGCTAGGTAGGTCGAAATGCTAGAATTGTACAACTATTTATTTCCATGTAAGGCGTTATTATCATTGTTTGGCGAATACATAGAATATTTATATTGCTGGCTACACGGTTAAGGTAATATTGTTATTAGTTTTGGAAAGCGTACACTGTTAATGATCGTCCTGGTGATGAGTTATACTTGACATACAAGGTATCGCCATTTTTACGATTGTATTTTTTTAAGACCAGACCCCATGTATTTGCGTACTTAGGTGTATCGTATGGTTGCAGATATGTGGTTCTGTTGTGTGCTCACTACCTTTGTTAATTCCTATCTCGCTACATTCAGACAGTATATTAGATTCTATTAACTTATTAACAAGCATAGGCATTTGAAAGAATTTCAGTCTTGATCTCAGTTGTAGATTAATCTAAGATTCGGCAGTTATTTTGAAATTACCTGAATCATTACTGCTTCCTATAGAGTAGCAGCGTAAAATGAATTTGTTTACAAAAAAGATTTTGTGTAATTTGCAAAATTTTAAATATACTCATTTTGTAATAAAACTTGAGTACAATAAGCCACTCATTGCTTTATTTGCGTTCACATTTTAGAGGTCCCTTTAGTGTTGTTCGTCGCTGTACACATCACGAGACCGGCCAATCATATGCTGTTAAAATAGTTGATATAAGCAAATTTACGGAAAGTCCAGGGCTTTCTACGGCAGGTAAAAACCACTTTATTTAGTAGGTAGAATTAATAGAACGACTTAAATCTGCAAAAATTAGTCATTTGTTGCCAACTTAATTTAATAAAACGTGCTTTATAATTGTTTCGCGTGCATTATTTAAAATTTTTTTATTTCATAAGTTCACTTGTTAGAAAATCAGGGCTCATCAACTTACAGGAAAGGTTTTAATTTAATTCTTTTGACTTTTGTCCAAACGGACTTGATAAATTGGTACTCATACTAATCGGGTCAGTAATTTGCTTTAAAAGATTATGTTGCATTGATTATATGTAACCTGATAACCTGTCATAAATGTTTCAGTACATTAGAGCTCCACGTAATGGGTAGATTTGACTCGCAAGAATTTCGGTTCTATAACCTTTATTTCCAAGTAATTCGTTTGAGATGAAAAAAATCAATGTATTTTTAACAGATATTGTATGCAAACTTGAAATGTAGCAATCGTTTTGACAGTCAATAATAGTAACAAGTCTTAATACACATTTGTTAATTATATCGCTAGCGTTCGATATTGACAATTTTCAATTCATTCTGCATTCGTGTACAATGGATTTGACACTAATACATATAACAACTATTCTGTGCAACTACCTTAATGTGAAATTAGATTTGAAGCGTGAGGCCAGTATCTGTCACCTGCTGAAGCATCCTCATATCGTCGAACTAATCGAAACTTACAGCAGCGATGGAATGCTATACATGGTTTTTGAGTAGTAAGTGTTGCACTAAGCACTTTTTTTCCTTTTCTTTTGATCAATCTTCCTCTGATGCTTATTTTTTCTTAATGGAATTAAACACAAGTACATTCGCTTTCTAAAACACATAATGGTTTTAACGAAAATAGTCGGAATTTATTTAATATCACCATGCTTGCGATACTTCGTTAAGGTAGAATGCCACATTATTAACTATAATGTTGTGAAACACTTATAATCAAGACGTTTATATAAACTCTTGTTTAACTTGTTAAAGCATGGAGGGAGCAGACCTATGTCATGAAATTGTCAAGCGTGCGACTGCGGGGTTTATCTACAGTGAAGCTGTTGCGAGGTAAGCGAAGTTTTTGCGATTTGTCGTCACGCACAACGTTGTCCAAGTAGGCCTTTTGAACTCGAGAATTGCTTTATCTACACATATTTTGTGAAAATATTAAAAATTATTATAAATTATCCATTTGATTGAAAACCTTGCTATCTAAACAGATCATTTTAAATCTCTTATTCACGACAACGAATCACTATATTTCATAAAATATTGGGATTATATAGCATCACTTAACGGCGTTATTTGGTGAGCCGTCAGTCTAAGCAAGGTTATCAAAAATCTGTGCTATTATAGCAAAATATGAAGCTTCAAAAATTTGTACAAACAGACCAAAAATGGCTTTTATCATTGTACTTATTAGCACATAAATAGGCGTTTTTATATAAAATGCCTGTTGGTATTAGATAGGATTGTGCGTGCAGTACCAACTAAACGCAAGCGCAGAATGCACTTTATTTTTCTGCTTTCAGCCACTACATGAGGCAGGTCCTCGAAGCCATCAAATACTGTCACGAAAATAATATCATTCACCGTGACTTGAAACCCCACTGTGTCGTACTCGCTAACAAACAGAATTCAGCACCAGCAAAAATTGGCGGTTTTGGTGTCGCGGACCAGCTCAACCCCGACATTGGATATATTCCAGGTGGTGAGTAATGCACGTGAAAGCATAAAACCTTGAATCCAGTTTTGCAGTGTTACAGTGCACGTTAATTTTTTTTAAATAGTCGATATCTATGCGTTTTTGAAGGCTCAATATTTACAGGGAAGGGGTCGTTTCGTTTTAATGATATAGCTTTATTCCGTATTATTCTAGATAATTCGAAAAAATAAGCCGCTATATGGATCTGATTTAGTCAATGTGGGAAAACCTTGCTTCTGTATCATGCTGCCATATTATGCAACACGTGAATAGTGTCTTGTTGGCAAGGTTTGTATAATTTGCTTCGCAAAACATTGGAAAATTTTGTCTTTATCAGTATCTGGTACAAAATGACTAAACGTTGTGAGCAATCAAATGTAAGCTAAAGCCTCTCGTGCTCTTTTGAGGGTTATTTGGTAAATGATTCTTCATGGTCTAAACTATGTAGGAAGTCTTTTGACGTGCAGTTAAACTGCTGCTTGGAAAAACAAATTAGTTTTAGCGGACATTTTTGGGCTTCTTCATTACGCACAGGTTTGTCTGTCGTGAAAAATCAGCTAGCACATTGTATTATCATCCGGAACGATGTTACCACTTTGTACGCTAGTATAGTATAGTATGGTGTAGTAACAGTGAACTGTCTCGAAAGTGTGTAAGTTGGATTAACTTTGACAAACGAGGGAAAGAAATTGCCTAATAGCGATTCATTAACTTTCTACTAGTTTCGTCAAAATAAACAAGTGAGTTTCGAATGCACTATCATCATCCGGGATATGGTAAGCACACATACTTATTGGCACCCACATTGCAGGCCTTAATCAGTACTGTGGAAGGGTAAATGAGACACCACTTCAATTATGCCTTGCCTTGGTTGAAAGAAAGTTTTAATTATTGACGCACATGCAGAAATGGTAGTCATTGCCTGATACTGACGAAAATGAGCATCGGTTCTAGGTTATTTGCGAATACATTGGGAATAACTCTAGAATATTATTCTTATGAGACCCCTCTAAGTGAAACGACAGGCTTGTCAGTCTGTGACAGTGAATGAACTTCGCGCCTTACTTGATCTTTAAGCCCTATCCGTATCTTGCCATAATCATAAAACTTGATAGATCTTTGAAACTTAATGCAGAGGAGCTAAGATTAAATCTGTCGAAGCGTTGCTAAGAGTATTTCACGTATCTGGTGGTTGAATGAACTCCAGTACAGTGAGGTGGAAGTCTGACATTGAGATCACAGTGCGCTAGCATGTCATCTTTTTAATCAGGATAACGAAGTCCAGTTGTCTCCTTGTATCGAATAGTCGGTCTCTTTGAAAAATCAACACAAAATCCTCTAGCACAAAACCATTCATTTTCATAAGTAGCAGTAAGTCTTATTTTCGTTCTTTTAGACACTCCTTTTACAGTGGATCAGGAAATCTTCGTTGCTCTTCGTCCTGATCAGTGCGGTTAGTTCGGATTAATTATTTGGTGTCACGCTAACCGATATTGTGGCAATTTGGATAAAGTTAATTTAAAATTAAGTTTGTCTGACGTTCTTTGCGCTGTTTGCAATGTTTATTTTTAGCCATTTCATTGATTTTTGTTAGAAGTTTTCAGCCGATGACAAGAGATTAATTACTACCCTTTACATTTAATCTATTAATGCTCAATTGTAATTTGCTAGTGAAATTATTCGGTATTTTTTTCAATGTATATATTTACACGCTTTTTACTTAATTGCGCAATCACATATACGTTACATATACGAGAAATTTTCGTATCTTGTTTTCCGCTGACTTTTACCTTGATATAACCTGCAAAGATATGCTGTGTGTGAGGAGGCATGCTCCGTGTTCTACAATCAAAGAGAATCAAGTGCAATGAATCGCAGAAGAGGTTAATAGTAAGTGATAGAACTAATGTTGGAGTAAGGTAGAAATTGAATTCGAAAGATCTGTCGAGCGGTGGCGGACAACAGGTAAAACCGTTAATTATTCATGGTAGGCCAATGTCACTTGTAGGTGCATTACCCTTAAGAGTTAGGAAATGATTAGGTTTCATAAACGGGAACTCCAGTACCTTAATCATCTCTCATAATGATCTAACGTGAGAAATATATAATGTTATCAAAAAGGGTTGTGTTTTCTGGTTATTTCTAAGTTATGGAAAATAATGCTTTATTATTTGTTGTTCAGCAATGTGTGAGCTGGAATGAACGTTTTGCAGGAACACAAATGCGTGTGCTTGTGGATGACAGGCTTAATCACGATTTATGCAAATAGCAGATTCCGTCAAAACTATGTATGCAACAATTGGTTTAAAGGAAATAGGTAGCCGAATCTTAGCAACAATAACCCAACAAAATTTCAGCTATTTTGGCTTTATTTATTAACCACTACTAAGGTTTGTTAAATTTATGTTGCTGGGTCTGTGCACAATTAAACATGATTTTTTTAGTGATTAAAACCACCACATTTCGTTATATTTGAGTCCTTTGAATTGTTTTATCACCATTCATTGTGACAACCCCTGTTGTTTCAAATGGAGTTTTTCGTAGTTTTTTGTTGCTTGCCGCAGACTTCGCGATTGTTTTAATGTCTATTTTTATCTTGATCTTTTTTTCGCTGTGTAGCCGTAAATCCTCACAGTTTATTTGTATTCTATAAATTCCACTTTCTAAGTTTAGTTTTACTTTTCATGAAAATTAGAGTTAAATAAAAGCGCGGAAACAGCCTCGCAGTCAATAAAATGGCTTAAATATCACAAATTAGTACTTAGGGTTGAGTTAATGTCTGTCACTTTTGTTTCTACTTCCATGAAAAAAATGTCATATTAGGTAGATTTAACTTGTTGCTTGCTTCCTGGAACCCCAAAAATTAAATGTGCTTATTTTGACGTGGCTTTAGGCGTCAATTGTAGTAACTTTTGGTGTAGATTTGAAACTTGTAAAGTCCTAAAAATTGGTCTACAGTTTAGTTTTGAATTTTCGTGAAAATTGGACTCACCCGACACGAATGTATGAGCTTTATAGTGGCCATGAATAAGGTTATTTGTCCTTATGTTAAGACGATTATGCAAGAATATTTAATAAAATTCTTCCAAGTTTGTCAGCTTACTTAACGTTTCACACGAAGTGGTAAAACGCATTCTATTTTGGAATTTTGCGGCTGATTTTTGCTATACATCGTCATCACCAATTTACCAAGCATTGGCCTTAATTTTGATAAATAAAAAAATGCACAGTAACTGCATAAATATTTTTCTCTGAAAATTTTTTAATGTCAGCGTGATTTTATTAGTACATATGTTCAAAACAGAATCTAGATGCGTGGTTGTTGGTAATTAAAGGTATCACCATCAGTTTATTCGACAAAAACTATTTTGATTTTATTTACTATTAACACTAATGGTCTTAGAAACTTGGAAGCCCACGATGGATTAATCTCATTTAGAAAGGACTGTCTAAAATGGTCGGCAACGCGAATGCGTTACCCCAAACAGTAAATTTGGCGACAATGAACACTGTTAGTAAACGTACATAAAAATTTACCGGTAGCAAATGCTTATCACTCTGGTGTTTAGTGAGCACGGCATGACCTGTAAACAAATTTAACTATTGTTCAAACGAAAATCATACTAGTAAAAAGCTGCGCACGGAATATTAATGCGGAAATTGTTGTACTTACGGTCTGACAGGCTTTCTGTGTCTGGTAAGTTCAAGTAAGTCATCTAAACTCAACCGAACATGTGGCATGTTATTGTGGATGATTTGTGCCATTAAGTGTTTTTTAGACAACGACGAGCCACTGACATTTGTTGTGACTTCTACCCTAACAATGCTTCCTTTTTCGTAAAAGAAAATTTTACTTAATAGTGTTTTCTAACCCGAGCCTACTTACGCATTCACGTAACAGATTAGCATACTGTTATTATTCAACATGGGTGTTTTGATCTCTGCGAGTTAACTCCACGTTTAAATGCTTGCTTTAACCATTTGGCTTACCACTGACGGCTGTGAATAGTGATGTTTAATATGTATGCTTACTTCTATCAAAATTCGACATTTGCAATTATAGGTCGCATTGGCACCCCACATTACATGAGCCCGGAGATGTTGCGTCACCAGCCTTATGGTAAACCGGTGGATGCCTGGAGTTGTGGAGTTCTGCTTTCAGTCCTTCTTAGTGGCTCCCTGCCTTTTTATGGCACTCGTGAGACCCTGTACACACAAATTCTTGGTGGTCAATATCGGGTATGTTGGACTGTACTTGCATAGAACCAGTAAGAATAACACATCCAAAAGGTCATAACATCAGGCCACAAAGCAGCAGTTTTTTGTGTTCAGATTCCAAGTATTTCTGTGCCAAACTCTAATCTCTGACTCAACAGACGACTCCAGTTTGGCAAATAATTGCATGTTTTTTTCTAAATATTTTAAATCCTGCTACTACAAATATTTTTTGACAAAATATGCTGAAAGTAAATTTGGCGCCGTCTCATTACTTTGGATTTTGCATTCTCATCCCATTACGCGCTTTTTGCTTGATAAAGCATCGATCACTTTAATGAGACATTTTTGCCTGAAGTGAATGGTTGGTTGGTTGAGTGAATTATTAAAAGACAAGATGCGCCAAATTAATTATTTACAACAAAACACAGGTAATTCCTCTCCAACTGCTAACTGTCTTACATGTTCACAATTAAAACATTGTGCCATGCGTAATGACCAACAACGCTAATAGCAAAGTTTGTGCATAGATCTAAGCCTTTTAACGCTATGCTAATTTGGTCAAGATAGTGTATATTTTTGAAGTCAAGAAAAGTATAATTTTCTAGACATATATAGCAAGTATTATAATGTAGGCACTAAAATTCTGTCTATATGCATCCACAATACTCACGTTATGCCTCTTCACGACCTTTTAACGTTTCAATTGTTGCAATTATTAATCATTTGAAAATAAACCGAATCCAAAGTGATTAGAGTGACACTTGATGTGTTGTGTGTATGTAAAAGGATTAATGTACATGTATCTTTTAATTAAGCAAACATTAATCTATTAAACTTCAGATTCGCTAGGATTCTTCCATTTCTTAAAACAGTTAACCCAATCAGTGCTTTTACCTTTGCTACATGGTCAGTTAGCGTTGTCTTCTGAATGAAAAGCGAAATGAAAGGCGCAACAAAGCATTTATTGACAATGCTTTCAGGATGACTCAAAAAGACGCATTTAGGATGCAACTAGTATTTTTTTGTTAACATAATGTCGTTTCTTTCCATTATCCTAGGAAATCATTGGAAAATATGTAGATGTAAATTACTTTCACTAGAAATGACACCGCGTTTTTCTACAAAACCGTAATAATTCTCTAAAGCAAGGATCCTATTTTAATTTGGATTAAATATAAGCTAATCTCAACTCATTGCTGCTTTTTCAACATCAAGGAAACGTTTTTCTGCATCTAATGTCATCGATGCAAATTACATTTCCTATTTTACGTGTCTACACTAATTTGAGTACTTTCTGTGGCAATAACTACACAATGAGTTAATTGAATGCCAAAACGTTTACTTTGGCTACCTTACACATAGCTAATAATTATTTACGCTAAATTCTAATAGACGTATTATATTAGTTTCATAGTTGTACTATCGATCATGATTTTTTGCAATTTGAAATGTATTTTATGTAGCATGCTTATTTCCACGTAGATGAATCCAGATGTTTGGAATGCTATATCATCCGAGGCAAAAGATTTGACGCTTAGACTTCTTGAAGTTGACCCAAGCCGCCGTATGGCGATTGAGGAGGCATTAAAACACCCATGGATAGCGCAGAAGTCACGAGCTTCTAAGACCCATCTTCATGAAACAGTGGAAGCAATGAAGCAATTTAATGCCCGTCGTCGATTAAAGGTATTTTATAGTAAAGTCAATGACATGGACAAAACCATCACCATACCAACAGTAGCATTTATCCATTCACTATCCTAAATGACTCGGGACTATTTTAGCATGCTCCTAACACGATCAAGCTAATGCTTTGAAGGCTTTTAGTGCTAGGTAAAACGACACAAAGCATGCTTATTGGGTTGCTAAATGTCCCAGATTGTAATATTGTTCCTAATTTTGCCAGTTTTCCCAGAAAATATCACCAACTGAAGGTTTAGCTTCTTTGCCATCGATGTCACATATTTTCAAATAGCTTTGGTGTTTTGGAGTGATTTTTAGGCACTTCAAAGACTAGGCTTTGAGAGCGAACAAACTATTTCAGCAGATGGAAACACTATTTTGAGTGTTTTCTACAAGTGGGAAAGAATAGCAGTCGAGTTTGACCATTACATGAGCACTTTACATACTACATCAGTTCCCGCATCAGAGGTAGCTTGCACGTTGCAAGCCAGATAGATTTAACAATAATGTATACATTGATAACTGAAATTTCTTGAAGGCAAAAATCGCAAGTTACAGCTTCTACTTAGAATTTACATTCACGGAATCCCACTAAGACGTTGTAGGTTTTCACTAGCTCGGTGGACAATTCGGTGCCCTTAACTTATTTTCTTCCCACAAATTCTGAATTTCTACCTGTCACCAGTAATGCTAGAAACAATTATTACGTTTATTTTCAGGGTGCAGTCCTTGCTGCTGTATCCAGTACAAAGTGGGCCACCTTTTATTCCGACGCCTCTGGAAGTCGTGTGGATGAAAACATCGAGGAAGATGACGAAGTTACTTCGGCAGGTAAATGCAGAGGGCGAAAATGTTGCCACGAAGCGTAAATATTTTCACATCCTCAAATTCACTAGTTTTACGGCATCCGTTTTTTAAGGAAATTTCTGGTTTATTTTGGAAAATTACACTAACTCAGTGCAATTCTTCACGTTAGTATTAATCGTTTATCGCATTTCTGTTTAAGCTGATGCTTGCATCAGTGACCTTATTGGCATTTTATAAAAAAAACTCCACACTTGCACACACACACACACGCACATGTATATGAGTGCCAATGTATAAAGAAGCAACCTCTTATTCCTTGCTTTTTTCCTTTTATGCGTTTCTTTTTGTTTATTTTTCGGATTTGCTTATTCACGCAGAGTCAAAATTGAATTACAGTAACTTGATTTACCTATAATAACCTTTGACAGAGGAGTTTATATTAGGTCGCACTAATTTGGGTGATCAGGGTTAGTGCAATAGATATAGAAGGCAAAACGTATTTACGTGACAATAGTCGTATTAACGTTTTAGCCACGAATTTTAACTATGACACCAGTAACAACCTTCATGCAGTTAAAAGATCTTTAAATACACAATGCATATTCAACTTACAAAAATCTTGGTTTTTTAGCTGTCAGTGAGGTGCTCGATAGCTTGGAGGAAATGCAGTGTTTAACGGAGAGTGGGCCAGAAGCGGCGGAGTGGAAGGAAATGGTGTTCCAGGACCATCAACTGTGCAGTCTCCTTGAGGTAAATGCGTTTGCCCACACCTCTTGAAAAATCTTTAAACGCAGTTTTTTCTTAAGTGCAGATTGAGCTTATTACACATATTATGCTGAGCATAAGATGTAGATCTGCACAAAACCACCTTGGCCTTTTCTGTTATTATCATTGTACCTTCTTACGAATGCAAAATGCAACTTTTTGGTAGTCTAAGTGAAATCCTCACCAAATATACGAATAATTAATATCATTGTCTTAAATAAAACTGTTTGCAACTAAGTTCCTGTATAACTTTTTTTTCGTCTTAAACGTAAGTCTAACGCTACAAAGATTGACATACTAAATGACGACAATGTGGTATAGTTTAAGATGTGAGATAAGCAGTCCTTTAGTCAGAACTTAAACTTAGGGAGAATTCTCACATGCAGATTGACACTCCCGACCCATTTTGTCTATAATTGTTATTATCATAACTTTCAAATTAGGTGCGTATCACGAACCTATACACTCCATGTTTAATGAAATAAGTAACTAAATATGTAAAACATGTTTTGCGACAAGTCCCCACGGTACTTAATGGGTTATATTAGTTAAAGCGATTGCAGTAATGAAAAAAAACATTGTCTTACCTTGGTTGTTTGTGGCCTTGAATACTCTGTAATTTGCTAAGCACAGGACCTATTTCCCATTAATAAATTCCGTCTGTGATGCTATGGCATTCAAATACCTTGGAGGCTAAGTACACTTTTGTCAAGTCCGAATTGTTTTGGGTTGTTTAATTTTTGTGTCCATTATTGTGGGCATAACCTCTCGATAAAGGAAGAGCATGCACAGAAAGATGCTAGCTCTTACTGCCATATTATATCAGCATTTTGTGCTAATTATGGTCTTGTAGTCAAAATCAAAAACATAAAAATTTCTGTTTTTTGAATGCTTGAATACATTAATATGACGCACTTCTTTCGTTACATTTATTAATCAATCTTCTTCACCAGCTCTACGATCTGATTAACAGCAATCCGCTTTCGCCTAATGTAACTCTTCCAGATAATGCGACGGTGAAAGCTAGAGATGTAAGTTAAAGTGTCGTGAATCTGTATTTGCTTTTGTAATCATTTTCTTCGGAGATTTTTGATTGCATCAAGCGCTTAAGTAAAGCAAAAAAAACTTTCATGTGGTCTATTCAATATTTAAATTTGAATCTTTCATCAATTTCGTTTAATAAGAAACATTCAGGCAGATATTTTAGGATATGTGCATAGGGAGCATACTTTGCTGCCTGTGGACTAGGGAACACTAGAGGCATTTGACTGGTGGGACTCAACATTAATTTTAACATGAATAGAACTGGTAATTGTCATTGCTTTAAAGAACTCGGTTAAGTTTTAGTGTGAGTCATTAGACATTTCGGCATTTAAGATACCTGGTACACTTTAACCGTCCTAAAATGCCCAAGTAATAAATAATATCGTTATTTGGGAGAAAAATAGATTTGGGAACCGCAGCTAGTTTCAATAAACAAATAACATTTGTTGATTGTTTAAAACAAAGTGAATAGCCCTATGAAAAATTGCTATTTAATGCGCGCTTGAATGGATGATAAATGTGCACTTCTAATTGTTAAAATTAAAAGTATTTCAGAAATTAATTAAGTGTCATGCATTATCATAATTACACAATTTATTATTTTTTTGCCTCGATTTTACAAGCAACCCATTAATGTGTTTTAGGTCTTGGACGAGTTGAATTCAGCAATGTCAGAAGATTGTGTGCGCGACGCAGATGAACTGAGGTACCTTCTGAGAACACCACACATGAGAGTATGTATGCCTAAGTATTCAGTGCAGCCATAATTAATGTTTTTTTGGATAGATTACACCTTCTTTAATAGGCTTTGTGATTATAACCGTCTGATTCAGGTTCTTTATTGCTTTCGTGTATGCACTGTCTTTGGAGTCGATTTTTTGCTAGTATTGATAGGTTTAATGTTTTGGATGTTGTATTCCAAGATAACTCGGTTCAAGAAAATATGCAATGTAATGAGCTAGCTGTCAACAACAAGATTTCATTTCACTATGTGCCATTTCAGAGGTTTTTTACCATTTCTAAACTCACATTTGGCTTTCTGCCTGTGCAGTAGCTAGAGATTTAGCACTGCCTTACAACCCTCTAGTTAACAGCCCGTAACAACCTGAGAATGGAGAGAAGAGAGCCGACAGTGAACACGACCGTTTATTAGCGTCACGCCAGTCAAGTGTGTCTTAGTGTGTGGATGAGTGAACGGATGACAGGCATCTGATAACAGCAACCAATCAAAATGGGATGAGTCATTAACACCGTTAGGTCAGTAAACAGGGTTCACTTAGGCGCGATCGCTGTTAATCCGCCACACCTGTTAAATATTGAATAAAACTATTTTTCAATAATCGAAGAGGAATTTCTCTTAGCCTAAAAGTACCAGTTTCTCAGATTAGCGTTATGGATACTGTTCAATGTACGCGGTCCTAACGCCGTATTGTGAAATTTACTAAATAATTCAGTCATGTTCCTTGACTCCGATCTCGTTAGCATTTATCCAAGTATTTTCAGGTAAATGTTTTTTTGTGAAATGACAAACATAATTACTAAGATTTGGGACTTTCGTTTGTTTACGTAATTTTGTTCAGTTTTCACAATTTTAAAAGGAGGCCAATTTAAATCTGGCGAAAAAAATTATTCTGGAATAATATCACAAATTTTCTGCCCTTTGAAGTGCCACATTAGGACCACATCCATTAATCCCAGATTTTTAATTCAGCTAAGTCTTACAGCTAATATAAGGGACCATAAAAAATTCCAATGATTTTGCCTCATTCCTCTGACTACTGTGATATGCATATCTTTCCTATGTACTGTATCATATATTAGGCAATATAAGTGACCTAAGTTCCCAATTCATTACCCTCCGTGTGGACACTACAAGGTGAAGTAACCTCGTGACTGCCCAATATGTCACCAATACCTCCTGGTATTAAGCTGATCGCCATTCTACTTGTCTATAATCGATTTTACTAGGGCCTTGGCCATAACTCGTCAAAGAGGGACTTAAACGTGGATACGATCGGCCAAAAGAAATGCTGCACCAAAAGCGTTGTAGTGTTTATCGAATTGGATGCAATTGTAAAAAGTGTTAAGTAGTAATATTTGAAAAGTGAGGCCAAGTCGTTAAGCTGTGAATACAAACCCACAGGCCCACAATCTACCTGCCTCTTCTACAGAAAACCAAACGCTTTTATTCACCTTCTAATGGTTGAAAAATAACTGCAAGGTCCGGTTACTCAATAAAATGCAAATACTGCAATATAAGCACTATGTTTGGTCATTCTGGCAAAACGGAATTTACCAGACCTCACATGCAGCAAATGAATTAATGTAGCTTTAATCACTTCACTCAAATCCACCACAATTTTTTTCTGGCATTAAAAAAATTGGAAGAGCATGAAAAATGGCAACTTGCATGCGTGAAGAAATTTTGAGGTTTATTTTCAAAATCACTGCGTGTGAATTTGAACTAATTCTCCATGCAAATGTGTCTGCATCTAGTTTATTGTACCAAGTATGTGGCTTTACTTGCTGCTGTGGAAAATTCTTTTTTATTCAAGACGGCAGAAAAGACCCAATTTACGATGAACCACTCTTCAAAGTTTTACTTTTTAAGCAATGTGCTTTTTATCATAGTTTAGTAAACAATAACAACTGGTTTTTTCAATATTTTACTCTCTAACTTGAAAACAGTGTTTTTGATGCATCCAATCAAATCTTAGATGTGTTCAGTTATATTTTAGTTATTGGTGATTTTTACAACTGTGATCAACCACATGGTACTTAAACAATTTGACTAGATTTGAATCATCCTTGACATTTAAGCTGCCAACTGTTTTAAGAAAAGTCATAATGCGTTTAATTTAATAACATTTATTGGATACTTTATACACGAAATTCGTTTATTTTATAATGGTCATTCTTGACAAACTGGTAAGTTTGTGCATTTTTGCAGGCATACCCGATTTATTTGCTTAACTCCATTATTTCCAAAATATATTTGCAGTGTATATTGTGAATTATTCGATTACTGCTGCTCCAATTCTTTGTGGATTTGTATAAATTTCAAATTTCAGATAAGCCTTCCAAAGACAACAATAAGGTTTGTGTTCCATTCTACGCCATTGCGCACGTACCTATATGATCTGTTTTCACTAAAGCCACTATCCACACTACTTCTTTTCCTTTTGAAATTTGTACATCAGGTCTTAATCCTAATGTCAATGTTTTGCAAAATACCACCGCCCTGATCCTAACGTTTCTGTAGAATCCAGTTTTGTTGCGGCTATTAGAATGACCGTTCGAACTCCGAACTTAATAGTTCTTTGTAAAATTGTCAAGTAATTCGATTACCCGTAAATTAAATCCACTTTGTCAAGTGCTGACACCACCACTTGTGAACTGAATTTTATTTACAGGCGCTGTTACGAGCCCGCGACGTGATAGCACATGATGTGTACGGTGAGGCTGCAATTCGTGTAACCCCACCACCAACAAGTGCCTTTGGTTCAGCCCTGGCTAACGGGGACGAAGGCGACAATGACGACCCCGACGGGCCGGGGGATTCCGGCCATCAAGTGACCAGAGTTCGTCTCGTTCAATTCCAAAAGACCACAGATGAACCTATGGTAAATTTGCGGTGCATAATTGGTCCAGTGTTAAAGACAGTGGAGCTTGGTTAAGAAGCAGCAGATGTTATTACACGGAACGAGACTCATTGTTCATAATGACAACCGAATCCACCTCTTTAGTATACTGATATCATGCTCATTTTGACTTCGACCCACATGAAGCCACTTGAATTTATGAGAATGCCTTTTGGGCAGGTTGTTCGGTTGTCCATTCACTGCAGCTTTGGTAGAGAGAATGATTTTTTTATAAAATAACTCAAAATAACTTCCCTCAGAAGTGGCATTAACTTGCCCTTGAATTATTTAATAAGTTTTCAAAGCCATCGTCCAAGGTAATTAGCCACTTTAGATAAAAACCACTGCAATTCTTCAAACCCACTAACAATAATTATATTTTTTGAGAACTTTTCAATATGTGGCCTTGAAAATCAAATTGGAAATTAAATTAGGATCATTATAATAAGTTCCAATGTAGCCTTTTGACTAAAAAAATCTATGGTCAGGTACTTTGTAAAATGATTCTTTGGTTCTATCCTTACAAGTGCTTAAGGTTCATACTAATAATTTAGTTAAATTGGATTCACTTGTTTGTTAGCTGGTGTAATATTATAAAAGCTCATGATTTTAACGATGACTAAGTCCTGATTTGCGTCATTATCTAACCCGAGTATGTCATTTAAGGCTAAGAATTTCTCAATCGGTTTCAGCATCTCTAAGAATAATTGCATTTAATTAATGACTAAAAACATTAATTTCAGGGAATAACACTGAAATTGAATGAGGAGGATAAATGTATTGTTGCAAGAATAATGCATGGCGGAATGATACATCGACAGGGTAAGTGTGAACGTCCTTACTTGCAGAACTGAAGTACTGGTTTGTGTCACTTCAAAGCCAAATTGGAGTATGTTTGTGAAGTTTATGAATATCTGCCTCCATGTTTATTGTTACGCACTAGTGAATCAACCGTATTATTTTATTCATCCTAGAGAGCTTGCAAACTAAACCATTGTATGCGAAAAGGATGAATTAAGCATTTAAATAATGCATGCTAATGTGAAATTCTTAGTGAAGTCGTGATTATTTGTTTGATACCAGACCGATAGTGATTAGTATCACGCGATTTCCTATGGTATTTGTCAAGGAAATGAGTTCTGAACTATTTGAAACTTTAGGTACTCTGCACGTCGGCGATGAATTGCGAGAAATAAACTCGGAACCTGTTCACGGAAAGTCAGTAGAGTATCTACAAACTCGACTGGTTAGTTTGGTTACCTACAGATATCCAGTAATAGTGAACATGGTGACCATCAAGAATGATCTCATTTTTAAAGAGAAAAATCAATGACTAGCATGAATATTAGATGTTTTACCTAGATTTCTTTTAATACCGTAAATTTTATTTATAAGGCTAAAGTTTTTAGCTACAGAAGTAGAAGTAACGAGGACGTAAGTTTGTTCTTTGATGAATGATTTAAACGTTTATCAATATGTGCATGGAGTACAGCCATGTATTCCTTGAAGAAACATTCGTTTTCTCACCCGTTTTTGGCAATTCAAATTGGCATGAATGTCCGGAACCATATGGCTCCCCTTGGCCTACCTCTTACTTGCAAATAATAGATTTACATTCGGTATTGCCAAAATATCATTTATCATATCGCATAATGATTATTCTACTTGCAGCGGGAAGCTCGTGGCAGCGTCACTCTGAAAATTGTTCCTAGCTATCGCAGCAATCCGATTCAATGTGAGGTAAGTGGTTCATTAATGCAAGTAATGCCTAAGGTCTTTCTATTCACAACTACCATAATTCTATATTAAACACCATTACTCATCTGGCTTCGAAATGGGGCGAAAGTTTGGTTTTATCATCATTCACTTTGACTGAGGAGCGTTTGCGTTCATTTTACTAGTAATATATGTAAATGGCTGTTTTACATCATGGTATATTGCTATGTCAACCGCTGTTCTGTTGATCATTGTATGTCACAATTAAGTCCCACAAATATTGTCCATCGAATGTTTAATAAGAAAAACTGATATGTGTGGGAAGACGAATTCATTTCTCCTGTCAGCTGAAGGGGTGGTTTTAGAATACACTCCTAGCTTCTACTATCGTTTGCAGGGAATTGTGTTTGCGAATGGGTAATCAAAATAACACCAGCCACATATGCCATTCGACATTAGTATTTGAGCATTAAATCTACTTCATTGAGAATGTCAACAACACTTCGTATTTCTGTGATGTACTTCGTTCTATCAAACTCTTTGGAGTGAAATTGAAAATTAAATCTCATCCGTGTTCTTTCGCGCTTCGGAAGGCTTCAAATAAAGTGACAAGTTAGCGTTAGGCCCTCACCATTCGCCACTTTTCGCACAGTCGGTCCAAGTAAAACATATACTGGAAGTTTCAAGCATTACTTTAATCTTCACAGTGATGTTTATTTATGCATTGTTAATGATAGGCCCAATTTTTGTCGGTGGCATGTAATGATTTATCATATCTGTGAATGTTTCACCACCTTAAACATCACAGTCAAACACTGGACAAACGTACGTGCACATTAATTAACTAGTTATATACATTCGAAATTCATAAATGGCCAACAATTTATCACCTAATGTAGCATCAGTTGGTCGAATAACAATTGTGATAGATCAGAAAGGCATTAATTTTCCATGCCCTTCTTTGTGTCCCGATGTTAGCCAAAACTTGACGGTTTTGCAATCTTTAATTGGTTTGGTCGAATCATGTCTCGGACTTTTGATGCATATGGACAGGCTTCGGCATCATTCCTTCGATACTAAAATGGTCTAGTCTAAATCGTTCGCACCATTTGAGAATGATATGCATGTATAGTTTTGTTTTAATTGAAAGTGGCAACTTGTTTAAAAACCCATAGGCGTTCAGTAGACCATCAGGGGAATTTCTTTACATTCCGTAGAACTTTTCAACTATGTGGTTTCGACTTAGATATTTATATTTAAGTTAGTCACAGAGGTATTAAATTTAAGCGAAATGCCATTGTTTACTTTGCCATTTATAAGTTTCTGATTTTTGGTGTTTGTTAATTTGTATAATTTTTAAAAATATACGTGAATATACAAAGCAGTCTGTCCAGCCCATTTTTGTCTTTTAAAGGTAGGTGAAACACTGAAAGTATGTTGCAGTTGCTGCATAATAACCTTACTACCAGGACTATAGTAAATTCTTAACCCTAAAGTTCCTGTTTATTTTAATAATTTGACAAAGATAACTCCTGTTTTCATTTACAAATTACGGCGTTTTGGTTCACAACACTACACTGAGTGAATATTGTAATGTTTTGTGACATTTTATCTCAAAGATCTATGTTCGCGCGATGTTCAACTACGATCCCCAAACCGACGATTTAATCCCATGTCCTCAGGCTGGAATCAGGTTCCGCGTGGGCGACATCCTTCAGATCATCAGCAAAGACGATCATAACTGGTGGCAAGTGTGTAAAACCCGATTCTTCTTACTTAAATTATGCGCTTACATAAAAGATTAAAGGTTTGTTTTTTCCTAGGCTAGACTCTGGGGATCAGATCCCCAAAGTCCCGCAGGACTAATTCCAAGTCCTGAACTTCAGGAGTGGCGCGTTGCTAACACTGCAGCAGAGTATTCTCACGGGCATGCCAACCAACAAATTGTCAACTGTGGTTCATGGTTCATGAGAAAAAAGCGAGGCAACCACGGATCAGGTCGATCCGCAAGTGGACGAGCTCAAAAGTCATTTGTATATGACCAACTAGACTTATATACGTACGAGGAGGTTGTCCGCCTGCCCACTTTCAGACGTAGAACACTCGTCTTGCTTGGCGCACATGGAGTTGGTCGCCGACATATAAAAAACCGCCTTATACAATCTTCACCTGACAAATATGCTTATCCGATTCCACGTAAGCTGGCTTCAATTGTGCAATAACCTTCTGCGCCATATTACATTTCGTTTTTTTTTACTTACAGATACGACTCGATCCCCTAGAAAAGATGAAGTATTTGGGAAAAATTACTATTTTGTTACACAAGAAGAAATGATGCGAGATATCACAAACAATGAGTACCTCGAGTATGGAACCCATGAACAGGCTATGTACGGCACTAAATTGGATACTATCCGGCAAATTCATGCAGCTGGATTAGTTGCAATTTTGGATGTAGAGCCACAGGCATTAAAAGTACTGAGAACGGCTGAATTTGCTCCGTGTGTCATCTTCATTGCTGCGCCTGACCTTAATACAATCTTTACGGATTTAAATTGTTCGAACGTAAGCGAGATTTTTCAAAACGACTAATGATTTGCAACATCCAAACACCTTTCTGTAGGCTAATTGTGCCTTTTGCAGTTTTATTAAATTGAGGTAAATTATTTCATATCTAAAATGTCATAATCCTCACCCTTTAATACTTTGGCCCTTAAAGGTTAGGAGTCTCTAGATGCTCTGTGAAATATCAATTACAAAAGTTCAGAATTGCTATCTTGTAAATATTAGTGTTGTAAAAACAATGAACAATATTAGTGGTTGTCGATGTATGTTCTCGTCTTTTTCGCAGCAGCAGTTTTTATATAACTCCCTGTTACAAATTACTTGAGGTACACATGAAGCAATTAATCACTTAAAATTTTAGGATGGGAGCGTCGAGCGCCTAACTCGGGAAAGTCAGTTACTTGAACAGCATTTCGAACACTTCTTTGACCTAAAGATAGTGAACAACGACATGGAGGAAACAATCAAAAGGTTGCAAACTGGGATCGAAGAGTTCCAAACTCGACCTCAGTGGATTCCTGTTAGTTGGGTTTATTGAAACGTGGCGGCAACAAAACAAAGCTCCCATCTTTTATGTTACCTCAGCACGACGCGCTTTGCATCTAAGCATGTTTTTCTATACACTAATTACAATCCTAGTTTAGATGAATAGCCAACATCGTAGCCAAACAATGACACAAAAAACGATTGTTGTGTACTTGAAAACAATGTATTCTGACATCAAACAAGGTGATTCCTCTTTATTTCTTTAACAATAACTGATAACTTAATAGCCTTTTCTAACACTCCTGGATCCATAAGTACCTGGCTCTCAACAAAGTCCTTTAATACACATTCTGCAAAAGATTACAACGAATGTACAGCATACCACACGTCTCTTTCACTGTCATTTCATATTGTTTTAACTCTGTGTTTGTATCGGACAATTCCTTGCAAATTTTCTCGTAAAAAGATGGGTCAATCTTGATTTGGTTTGAAGACCGTGAAAACATTGTACCTTTTCTTAAAAACATTGTTCAGTAGAAAACGTTACTTTTCGCGTCGGCCTAGTTAAACATCTGACCAAAATTTCCACTATTAACTGTTTAGTGACGTCAGTACTGACGTGCAATTATATTTTCATTTGAAAAAACTATTTTGCATAGGCTCTCTAAAATTTCAATAAATTCAATTATTGAAAATATGCAATTGAAAAATACCTAGGACTTAATTCCCTAAATAAATCAAAATATACTTAGGATTCATGGTAGTATAAACTGTCGTATTGGTTAAAATGCATACACACGCAATTCACTACTGACTTATTCTAGGAAAAGTAAGAAAATGCGCCCAATTATATGCGTCGTTTGAAAAGAATTAAAATATTCGTGTGCACTTGTTTACCTACATTTGTTTATGAGAGTGACAGTGTGAGAAAACAGGTCTGGATGCACGCCTATCCACACATAGCTTTACTGTAGTATACTCAATGCATTAAGCTCATGCTATGAATGCAAATATCTTTCCATGAAAAAATTGCATGGAAAATACTCTAAAGGGCAGTTAGACGAATTACAATTACGCTTTTGACTCAAACGGGGAATATAAATAGCATTAGTAGGAGGATGATCCACCAGTAAACTCGTGCAATGTCCAAATGACAAATGTTTGGAATTGTGCACATTAAAGAAATTTCCACTAATATTAAGCATGCTAATTCAAGAAATGCTAACTAACGGAATGTTAGGAAATACAAAATCAGTTTTTCAGAAATTTAAATATGCTCCTTATGAAAGCTGAAAGCAAAATTAAGTTTACCAAAACTTTGATTATTTATAGGAACAATTCGCAAGAAAATCAAAAACATTTGAACATCTACTTCTGATGCACGAAAAAATTGCTGCATGCAAGAAATATTTTAAATCGGTTTAATTGATTGAAGCTCCAAACAATATTACTAATTTTGTAATATTTTGTGGTATTTCGTGAATTGCATTTTTGTATTGCGTAAACTGAACGTTCGAGTTAGCAAATCAAAATGATTACGTTAATATAATGGCTTTACTCGTAGATTTTGGCGTTAGCTTATGCGACTACCTTCAGTTTTTTTGCAGTTTCCATTGTCGCATTCTACCATAAAATTTCAAATTGTTGATTGCATAAATTTTAAAACCTTTATTAATTGGTTTTATATTTTATTAGCCTGATATATTTGGGAAATTAAATTCAAAGTTAAGTAATTCGACAGGGTTTAAAATAGTAGCAGATATTAACTAATGTTTTGCCTCAATCAACACTCACGTAATTAAAGCATTTATTAGTAGAGACTTAAGTCTGTATTGGTCATCTTTTGTTTGTTTTTTCATGCATGCTTCAGATTATAATCATGAAAGCAAACTTATACACGAGCAACGGAATTAACATAGATTTTGAAATAGTGAATTCCTTGAACCCCAAAAAAATACGCCAAGCTTACTCATAAACCCACGTAACAGTGGTCATATTTATATATCGACATTTTTATTGTGCTTTTGCCATTGAAACGACCAAATTCAAATCTTTGCAAAACATGCAGAAAACGGATCGGTGTCTGTATTCCAAATTTTATTTCCTATAATTATATAACAACATTTTTTTCAAAACCACCTTACGTGTGACATGACAGCATATACTAAAATCGGCAAAATAAGCACTACCTTTCTACCCATTAATGTTGATATTTTTCAGCTTCACTCACGAATACAGGCGACAAGAAAAAGCCTGTTTGATCCCTACAAAGTCGTCCATGTATCTAGACAATTATAAGTATCTTGCTTTGGTGTTTTGAGCAAAATCACCCAATTTTTTTTATCAGCATCCCATTCAAACCTGAGGGCTGTGTTAGCATCAACTAACATGCATTAAGCACAAAGCTCTGGTTATAACACCAACACTATATTCAAGTTTCTGGATACAAAATTTCCCTTGAGTAAATAAATCAAACTCGACGCAAGCACCCCTTTCAAAACCTATCCAGCTCTTTTAGACCCATCAAAGTGGTGGATGATTATATTTTTGGGACAAACTTGCATCAGCCGTGTCGCATCAGCATTCACCGACGTAAATGCCACCGTCACTCATAGGTCGTGGTTCTAAATGTCACGGGAGCCGTCATGACGTACTCGGCAGCCCTGCACGCCGTGGCCATTCCCACCCATAAAGATCCAAGAGTTCGGCGATTTAAGAGATTGCTAAACCGACTACGTTACCAGAATACTTAAAAATTAAGATATGGAAACTTAACGTTGCGACTTATACTTAAACTGGAAACGCCAAATACAAAAGAACAGAATGTCATTTGGAGGTTTAGCAGCATAAAACACAGTTGCACAATTTTCCAAACACAGCCAAGTCTGTCTTCGAATCGAAACTTGGGAATGAAGATGCGAGCACTTATTTGCGCTCCGGTGTCGCGTCACTTCGCTCATCGTCCCCTAAAAATTAGTACGTGATACATATGAGTCATGCTTGGCCCATACGAATTCACCAAGACTAAAAACTGAAAAACCCAAAATTCCGAACTCGACAATCACAGCCCTTTATAAGCATTAGAATGGAGTTGGCATTAATTAGGTCTTACGTGCAACCCACACATGAAATTCAGGCTGACCGCAAGTCACCCCTCCAGACGTTCTTTGACGTTAGAATTATGACGACACCGAAGAATGGCAAACTTTTAGACATTCCAAAGACTGATTTTTAGTGCCAGATTTGGATTCAATCAAGGTCGACTTGAGAATTTTGAGATAATTACTTTGGAATTTGTTAATGTGTTGCAAAATGGCATGCAACACAGTGTCATCCTTCGGGCCACCTTTAAATAAAACAGAGATATAACAACCTCCTCATCAGATAAGTCAGTACAGACTACCACGTTGGTAGAAAACGCGATTTAATAAGTCCACCGTGATGACAAGCGCCCAACGGCTCAACTGATCCATACCTACAAAATGCTAGCACGAGTTGCTATTTCAATACCTCCAAGCAACACCTCGTATGATGGCCAGAAGTATAATGTCGCATTCCTGTTTTAAAAACGTTTCATGGCGGAAATCCAAAATGCCACCTAGAACGGTGAGAACAATGGACTGGCAAAGTTCATGCCTGTAAGGAATCCGGGCTACGTACAGCATGACGTCAACAGATGCAAATAGATAGGTAGGGCTTAACTTGTTTTTCACGTTGCCTGCATGACCATACATTTACTATGGACAGGAATATTGTCAACTTATCAAGTAAAGTAAAAAATTATTGTCGTTTAAAGGCTAAAGTTAAAAGAACAATTCCATTAAGCAACCTTAAAATAAAGTTTTTAATCCAGCTTGCTAGTGTAAATTTGGCAAGGGGAAACAATTGAATTTTGGATAAAACCTGAGCCAAAATATCCATCAGGTCGCGATTACGCAAAGCAACTGTTTAAAACACAAAACCTACCTTCGTCGTCTTCGAAATTTCCGATCACGTGTGCCACAAGATTGGAAGAAGGACGTTCCGAGGAATGGTCTCCGTCTGAGCTTAATTACCGATGCACAAAATCAATCCATCATTAAGCATAAAAATGAGACGTTGATCACACTTGTGTTTAATTTTCTACAGGCCCATAAACAATACTAAGGAAAATCAACTAGGGAAATGGCTTACATTGTTTCATCTTGTGGAGCAGTCATAGGCGTGCTTCTGGTCGTTAGAAGACTTTTGCGGAACCGCATAGGTTTCCGTTGTTTTCTACTGCAATCTGTCGCCATTTTTTCATGATGCATTTGGGTAGACAAGAGATTAAATCGCTTTGGCGAAGAAGAGGCCGTTCTTCTTGGGCGGCCGACACAATTACACCTGTGACGCCAGATACTTTCAAAAACGTTTTCTGTAACGCGTGCCTTCTTTAAAGGACCTTCCTCAGATGAATCCTCATCACTGTCAAAAAATTCAACACCTCGGCGGTGAACGCGGTGGGAGCCAATGTGGCTATCGCTGAGATCAGCTAACAACGGGACTGGTGTTCGCCAGTTACTCCAATTATGCTCGGTATCACCAACCGAGTTCGCTCCCCGCCTTTTACTCCAACAGCCTTTACGACGCTTCCGCCAGCGCCTACGACGCATGGAAATAATGGAGATTGTCTGTAAATCATCAGAACTTGACACAATTGGTGATGAGCTGGCGGTAGGTTGGGACCTTGGTGGAGTGAGCGACAGCATCGAAGAATCTGATGATTCTGCATCAAAATATAAGGGGCAGAAGACGCGCGATTTGAGGGGTGTAATACTTGAACTTCGAAGAGAATTCGAGAAAGAGGCCACATTCATAGAAAGGGAGGAATCGATAACATAGCTAAAACTTCGTTTACTACCCGCGTTTAGACTAGGAAGTGAAAGTTTTACGCGTAGTGCCGGACTTCTAGAGAAACTGCTCAGTTACTTGAATCAGATTACCTTTGTGTATACAAGCCGAAGGAAGAAGATGTATCGCCTGGGAGCTCAATAGAAGAGTTGCTAGCTTTGGACCAACAGATTTGTGCCTTTTCACCTTGTTTAACGCTTGGCTAAGATAGCAAATTATAAACGTTTTAATTGCTACCTCAGGAGCGTCCGGCGCATTTGTTGTATCATCGTTTGCTGACAACCGAGCTACTCCTTTACTAAGTCGTGAGATGGTTTTTGCTGTAACTGCGTCGGGATGAAAGATACAGAAGCCCCTACCACGCCTGCGTCTTGAAGGCTTTCTACTTTCCCCGCGGTCTCCACTCAAGGAACTCATTTACTAGGCAATTAACAACTTTTGTGAACGAACCTGCATTAAAAATTAGAGAACACAACAATATCTGCTGACTTCCGTTAAATTAGCCACACGTGTTAAAATAGACCAGAAGAACGGGAAAATAAAACAGAATGATGCGATGCACAGAGGGGAACAGGAGAAATCTTCTATCAAAGTGCCGTGTGCCTATTGAAGTGTGGTGTGTTGCTGTGGTGTGGTGTGACATCGGATCAGGGCGCAGACATGTTGGACCACCTGGCCGCAGTTAATCCCGTGTCTCTCTGCGATCCAATGGCATGCGGAAAAGGAAGGCAGCCAACCAGAGAAGGACATGGATGAGATGCAGTGTATAATGAGCGGCGTGGCCAGCGTGGCGGACTCGGATGGAAGGCGCCTGACTTGTGGTTCTGGCTTGTGATTGGTCAATAAAGCCTGTTCTGTTGTACCAGTCTTTTACCTATTAGGGCTCGGGTATTCTATAATGGTGGCAGCGGATGCGTTCGAATAACGCAAATCGAAACCCAATCCTTTCTCTTCAGTGGTCAACACATTCAAACTCCTTAAATGCCAGCTGAATTTGTCATGGCGGTCATCCGATGTCCAATAAAGTGGATCCATAGACATTGCCCGGGATTAGG